AGCTTTTTTAATTTTCTCAAAAAATATTTAACTTACAAAAAAAAGTTTCGTACAAAAGTTGTTTAAAAAACAATTATAAACAAACAAATTATTTTATAGTTTTTCATTTAAACAAATATTTTTCGAGTTACATTACATTTACATTTACTATCTTCCACAATATTCCATTTTTTTCATTTTACGGTTACTTTTTATCATGTTATACTTACATTAGACACAATGTTATAAATGCATATGTGTGTATGTGTGAGTTTATTTATTTATTGTATCATTAAAGTGTAGTGTATATTGAGATACAACCGATAGAGTAGGTAATTGATTTGACGCTATATTATTTAAACCCAACTAAACGCTAAATTGTACATTCCGAAATAACAATCATATTATGTCAATTGCCACCGGAATATCTGGTAATATTTTTCTTTTTCTTTGCCTTAATCCCAACTACTTGGGGTCGGGCACCCTTATCCTAAGATTCCACTTGACACGATCTCCCACATCTTCTACGCTCACATCAGCTGTCCTCAAATCGCATTCAATAGCATCCCTCCATCTCTTTTTTGGTCTTCCTCTATCTCTTCTTCCTTCAACATTCATTTCTATAACTGTTCTTACAGCTTTCGATTCTTCTTTCCTCATACCATGACTAAACAATCTAAGTCTATTTTCTGTCATCTTATCCACGATTGACGCAACACCTATACTTCCTCTTATATGCTCGTTCCTTATCCTATCTTCTCTAGTCACTCCACTCATCCAACTAAGCATTCTCATCTCTGCTACACTTATTCTCTGCTCTACATTCTTATCAACCGCCCAACACTATGAACCATACATCATAGCTGGCCTCACAATTTCATACTGAATTTGAAAACTATAAATAGTCTTTATTCATATATTATATTTTAAAATCAAAGTACTACTAATCAGAATATAATTAAAGAAATAAGAGTTGATGTTGCTTTTGGAATAATCCACCAATTTCTCTAAAGGAAACACTATCTACAGATTTGCATCGAAGCGTTTCTTATGATAGTGATTTTAATCACTGTCATATATCATTATACTTGATCTAACTATGCCACGTCACCACTGTGCCGCGACCCCCCTGTGCTGGGCTTTTAAATAAGAGATTCAATATTATTTAAAGAAAAAATTATTTTGATATATTTAATTTAATTAATCAAAAATTGATGTAATGATTTTTCTAAAGTAGAAAAACTTTTTGTTTATTTGTTTTTAATACAAAAAAACAAAACACATTAATTATTGTTCTCTGTAGATTAAAGGTTTAACTCAAGGAGATATACAATATATCAGTCATATCATTCATTTATCAAATATTGAAGATGTAACACAAAATTTAAAAAATAAATATAAATTGAATAATACGGTGGTAAAAGACATTATTTAACAAGGTATTAAATATTAAAAATATTTAACTCAAAAAGCAACAAAAAAAAATCCTAAACAAATCGTGGATACGTATTTCGGGAACAATATTACCTGTATTAATACTAAGCACAAACTAACACAACGACCTGAACAACAGCCTCTTATATACCCCTAGTAATCTTATCCCTAGTGACATTATCACTAAGTAATATTATCACATTTTGCCAGTTAACACAAGTTAAATAATGAATTTTTAGGGATTCCTTATCCCACATAATTAATTTTTTTTTATTTTCAAGCATCTCTTATAAGAAATTCATTAATAAACACTGTCACATATAAATAAACCAAAATAATTTTTTGTTAACCTAATTTTGCTAACTTATATTTGTTCTTTATAACAATTCAGAATTAGTCATACTTTAAAATTTTTTATATATATATATATATATGTACCTCTGTTAAGACTTAGTTGTTACCAATAACATTTCATAAAAGTTTTTTTTTGTTATACATATAATTTGTGATTGTAATGAAAAGTATAGTTTTTCGTCAAATATATGTATTTTTTTTTTTTAAATAAAAAAATTCATATTATTGTTTTGGTTGCGTTTAAAAAATTTACGTAAAAATAAACTCGAATAAATACTATTTTATTTCATTTGAATCTCTGGGTATATCAAAAAATTAACTCTATATTTAGTTTCAGTAACTATCGCAAAAAAATATATTGGAAAATTTAGGTTTACGCAAGCTAATAATGATTTTAGATCACCGTATTAATATATTTTTAACTGTACTAAATAATTTGAAGTTTGGTAACTTTTACCTTCTAAATAATGAGCTAATGGTGTCAACTTCCTAAGATAGTTGTGTGCAATAATACTACTTTTACAGTACACTGTAATTCTTTACATCAATGTCTGTTGAGTTAATTTTTGTTATTCTTATCAGACATTTTGATTAATGATGGGCATAATCGAGATATTTCGATTATTGAAATAATATCTATTATATAATCGAGATATTCTGATTTTTTTAATAAATAATATTAGAATAATATTGATTATTCTATAATCGAGTGATTATTTCTAATATTTTCTCGTTTATTATAAAAACAATGATTTCTCTCGATTCTCTCGATAAATAATAATAGTTGATTATTCTTATCATACGAGCAGACGATTTTAACTTCGAGTGATTTTTCGAGAGATTCACTCGATTATGAAAATGTCTCGATTACTAATCATTCGATTATGCCCATCACTAATTTTGATACAAAAAATATTTAAAATAGCATTGTTATTTGTATTATTTCAAATTTTGTCTATCATTTTATATTTTGTTACTAGATCACGTTAGTTGCCTGGTACCAGTGTTCTATTATGAAAATATAAGTGGTATCAACATTTTATAAAACCTGTGTTAAGAAATGTACAAAAAAGTTTATCAGTGATATTTGCCGGATAGCAAGTCAGTCATGTGACTTATTTAGTGCTATTGAAGTACGATAGAATTATACGGTATATTAAATTCAAAGAATCTAATATTTTGTTAAATAGTATTTTTAAGTGATTATAAATATATACTTAAGTTTAAGTAGACGTTTTAATCATGGGAAAAAATAAAAAAAAATCAGTTCGCATTGAAAAGGCAGCTATCAAAAAAGAAAAAAAAATTGCACAAAGAATTAAAAAAGACATTTCAAAAATTGGAGAAGTATGATTCATTTAATTTTTCTTATTATAACGTTATAATATGCAAAGTATCTCAGATAATTGAAAACTATTTATTTAAATCATGAGTTAATATTAGTAATTATCATTTTTATTATTCTTTAAAAATTCCAAAATATTCTTTTAAAATTAAAAAAATAATCAATGAACATGAAAAAAATATTTTTTATTTATAAAAAATATATTTTGGAATATCTTCATTTATTTTATCTTTTTCCTTATTTATTTATTTTATTTCCAATTGGCATATTACTCAGTAAAATTATATTATATATAAATGAATAAATTATATCTTAACAAATAAAATTGGTATATATTTAATATTCATAAAAAAAAACTTAATATTTTATAATTAAAAATAAAAAATTTAGGCTAATAAGAAAATAATAGTATATAAAATTTACTTTAAATTACAAACAATAAATAGTTTCATAACGTTTGGTATCTGGTGATTTTAAATTAGTTTTTTTCTGTGATAATTAGTTTTCTATTTCTGGGAACTTGTTCTGTTTTTTCTGTTAATTTTTAAGTCTTTGATTAAATTTTTCAACTATATATTTAAAATATTATATACTTTAATGAAATTATATTAACAGCCAGAAGTTTCTGCTATAGTTGCTCATATCGAAGCTAAAAATAAGGCAAAAATTAAAGTGACTAATACTAAAATTGAAGCTCCATCACGTCGTTCAAACTTTACATTTGTTCCTCACCCAAATAAAGATGAGATTATACTTTTTGGTGGAGAATATCATAATGGTAAAAATGTAAGTATTATATTAACATTTTATTCAGTTGTGAATTATGTTTAACTTTATATTTTAATATAATAAGAATCATAATATTATTTGGATTATTTGTTATTACTATTATTTTTAGCAGAAGAGGCTTCAATAACAATGATTATTAGCCTACTTTACAACATACAAATTACATAAAATTAAAAAATATTACAATATATTTACAATATTTATCTTATTTTAAAAAAGAGTATGTTATTCTTGAGTAATCTTCATTCATTGTTGTTTCTAAATTTTGGGGAATTTTAAATTTTGTACGTTCATTGGTGTATTTTCGGCAGTAAATTATAATATATTTGACTAATGGGTGGGTCTGGCATGTATCACAAGATGGTCGGGATCCTTACTAATTAGGTATACATGAATTAGATGGGTATGACCATAAACATATTCTTGAAATTATTGTTTCTTCTTCTCTTTTAATTTCAATGATGATTTTTGGTTTGTATACATTCTTTTTATATTTCCTAGTTTGTTTGATAGTGGTACATTATCCTATTGGCCAATGATCACTGCTATTATAATGTGTTAGAACCTGCTATTCAAAAAGTGAAGCTGTGTTGGCATTAGTTATATTGCTGATAGACTTCCATTAGCTGTATTGTGTCTAGTGAGTTTGTTGGTGTTAAGGAGAATGAGAGACTCTTCATCTAATAATTTTTCTATTTCGATGCCTCGGTTATCTGTGTAGTTGCAACCTTAGTAACAAAAATATTTGAAGTTGCTTATGGGAATGTAAGGTTTTCGTAACTAATTTATTATATCTTTGAAATTTTCTTTGGTGAAGTGAATACTTTCTAGAATTTTGGGCTGTATGTTTATTTTTTTAGTCGGTTTCTTGAAGGCATATTACTTGTAGTTGAAGATTATACATTATATGGATTAAGTCTACATGGTGTCTGTAGAAACCATTAATATTCCATTGTATTCACGTGTTCATTTAATGTGATAATAAAAATATAAGAGTTGTGTTAGAGAAGAATTTGTAATTTTTAAATTATATAAGTAGTATAAAAGATTAAGAATGTTTTGAAAGTTAAGAGTTTTGAATATTTTCAAGGGTAGCTGATTTATTGTGTTTTTTATATTTCGTTTTGGAAATTAACAAAGATATTTTAAGTTTATATTATTTGTTATTGTTCAATTGATTTTTATTTAATGTTACATAAATCAATGGTCTGTGAATTTTTTTATCTAATATTAGATATAATATATATTTATAGAGAAATAAGTATAAACAAATCCCATTAGAATACATTTTATTTTTGTTGTTTATTTATTTTTTTTCATAGACAGTTATGTACAATGATTTAATATTTTATAATATAAATAATAACACATGGACAATAACTGATGCTCCTGGAGCACCCCCACCTCGATCATCTCACTCATGTGTAACTACTGCATCAGATAATGGACAATTGTGGATTTTTGGTGGTGAATTTGCTAGTCCATCAGAGTACCAATTTTATCATTATAATGACTTATGGGTTTTTAGTCTAAAAACTAAAAATTGGACCAAAATAGCGTAATAATTAAATTTTATTCTTTGCATGGTCAGTGGCGCAACTAGTTGAAAAGTTGGAAAATCATACTTTTCTAACTTCTAAAAGGGTGCATTTTCACTAGGTCATAAAATTGTGATTATCTAAAAAAAATGACGTGTCTAAAAAATAAAGTTTATCAAAAACAAATAGGTTTATTAATAATATGAATAAATATAGTTTTATATGCCCTAGTTTACAATACACTATGAAAATACTATGGTTAATAAGAATTTTTGGTTTTAGTTTAATGGTTTTTGATATGAAAATCCTTTAATAATCTATTTGAAATTGGACATAAATTCTTTACCATTGAGTAATACTGTAAAATACTCCAGTGTCTATACTTTGTGTTAATGATTTTCTCTTATATTTTTAATAAATTGTTACTATGTTGAAATTACTATATTAAATAACCTTAATTTTAAAAAGGGCAACTATATCTGTTAATTATGTAAATAAATAACTTATTACACAGATAATATGTTATGCAGTTAACTATTAGAGAATTCAGGTAGTTGGCACAAAAGCATATTCTTCAGCTTTTATGTTTTTACTCAATTAATATTTTGAAACGGCTACCAATCAAAAAGTTATTCCTTTAGTTATTAGGTTAAGACCCACTGATCTCAAGTACAATAACAAAATCAATACATTCAATAAAAATATAATAAGAATACAGATATAAAAAAGTAAATTAGTAGTATAGATTAAATAACATTATAAAAGAGTTTAATTTACAAAATAATATGTAAGAGATAAATTTAGTAATGTACATTAAGTCAATAAAAAACATAGATTAAAATAATACTAATCAATTATATTAAACGAATTAAAAATGTTCAAATTACTGTATTCTCTAACTATTTGATCAATTGGATTATTAATGTCATATGATGTGCGATGAAAAAGAATTTCAATTGTAGGACAAAAACTTTAATAAAATTAAGAAACACGAATGTTTATAAGCTGTAATAGTTTTAGACAAGATTATAGCACATTATAAATTTACTAATTTAGGCAAAAAGCAAATGCCCGTGTATCACTGTTTAACAAGAGAATATAAATTAAGGGATGTCTCTATAGAATGAAGAGATATTGATTCAAGTGGGTAAATATTAGAATGCATATGTTTCTTATATGCGATTAAATGTATAAATCATCTTTGTACTTGCTCAAGTGATTCCACTATTTCTATTTGTGAGGGGTTCCAAATAACTAAATTGTATTTCAAAATAACTAACTAAAGAAGTGTAAAATGTTATAAGACACAGTTAATTCATAAATTCTTTGGTATTCCTAGTTAAAACCCCAAGAATTTATAGGGCTTTCACATAGATATAATTAACATGAGAATGGAAAGATAAATTTTTTTTTTAATACTACCCCAAGTTCTCTAACAGTCAATTCATCCTAGTTAAAATAGCTTTTGATGTGTTTTCTTGGCCCAATAGCTTAGAATTAATTGATATATCATTATGCATAATTTTAATTAGTATGAAATTAAGTTTTCATAATGGTGTATTTGTTTCTTGTCTTTACAACTTTCTACAGTCTATTATAATAAAACATTTTTTCTTTATAAATAAAAAAAACTCATCAGATTTTATAATTCAAAAACTCTACAAAAGTGTTGTTGCGCCTCTGTTTATGATATTAAATAAATCATTTATAAAGTAATTATAAATTTAAATACTGTTTAAGTACTGAAGGAGGACCTAGTGCTCGTAGTGGTCACAGAATGGTTCTCTGTAAACGGCATCTGATAGTGTTTGGCGGTTTTCAAGATAATACACATTCATATCAGTATTTTAATGATATTTATGCATTTAGTCTCGAAAATTATGAATGGAAAAAAATTAAAACGACAGGTAAATTTGTCAAACTTGTAGTTTAATTATATTTTATATATAAAATATTATAATATTTTTGGTTTTGACATTTAAAATGTTTTGGTAAGAAATTTAATTGTTTAGCATATCATTTGATATGGTAATACATGGGTAATTAGTAATAAGTAAATGATTAGCGAATTTAAGAACTGGAATGTTGGAAAATATTTTTCAAATTATAGGAAAAAAACCTTTATCCATACATTTTCTGAAAAAAATAAATAAAGCAATATATAAGGATAAATGATATTGTAAAAGCAGGTTGCTGAGTTAACATCAGGTCTATTAGAAGAAATATGTATAATCAGTGGCAAGAAGTGCATCAGGAGAAAAGAAACAGATGGAAGGGAATACGAATATCTATAAGAATTGTCTGAAATACTGGGTGAATTGAAAGGTTTATAAACAGAGGAAACATATTTAGAAATAGAGAAATTACCTTAAAGTTTTAAGAACCTGTAGATAAATTTTGGTCGAAGTTGAAGAGTTTTGAATATAATTGTAAAAGTATTTTCAGAAATCATATGGAGAAAGAGTAGCTGGTTTCAGTTATAAAAAGTAAAAGTATCTACCCAATTAAATGACCAAAATAATTGGTTGATTTTAGTATAATAGTTAACACTTTTAAAATAATAATAGGAAAAATAATTGAATATAATTAAGAGAAAAGGCAGTTAAAAAGGTATAAGAGGCAGTAGAGTTAGGAAAAATTAGATTAAGAAAACCACCAAAAGTGTTTTTGATGGAATTACACTAGAAAAAAATTAAACAGTGAGAAACAATTATCTAATAATGTAGATGAAGGTTGTTAAGGCCCTAATTGTAATAAATCCAAGGCCATCAGAAGACCAGTTGATATTAGGTGAGTTATAGTCACCGCAAATTTTGACAGAATGAAAGGAGTACCTAAAAAGAATATCCTCTATACAGGATTATGAGANAAATATTTTTCAAATTATAGGAAAAAAACCTTTATCCATACATTTTCTGAAAAAAATAAATAAAGCAATATATAAGGATAAATGATATTGTAAAAGCAGGTTGCTGAGTTAACATCAGGTCTATTAGAAGAAATATGTATAATCAGTGGCAAGAAGTGCATCAGGAGAAAAGAAACAGATGGAAGGGAATACGAATATCTATAAGAATTGTCTGAAATACTGGGTGAATTGAAAGGTTTATAAACAGAGGAAACATATTTAGAAATAGAGAAATTACCTTAAAGTTTTAAGAACCTGTAGATAAATTTTGGTCGAAGTTGAAGAGTTTTGAATATAATTGTAAAAGTATTTTCAGAAATCATATGGAGAAAGAGTAGCTGGTTTCAGTTATAAAAAGTAAAAGTATCTACCCAATTAAATGACCAAAATAATTGGTTGATTTTAGTATAATAGTTAACACTTTTAAAATAATAATAGGAAAAATAATTGAATATAATTAAGAGAAAAGGCAGTTAAAAAGGTATAAGAGGCAGTAGAGTTAGGAAAAGATTAAGATAAGATTAATATANAAAGGTATAAGAGGCAGTAGAGTTAGGAAAAATTAGATTAAGAAAACCACCAAAAGTGTTTTTGATGGAATTACACTAGAAAAAAATTAAACAGTGAGAAACAATTATCTAATAATGTAGATGAAGGTTGTTAAGGCCCTAATTGTAATAAATCCAAGGCCATCAGAAGACCAGTTGATGTTAGGTGAGTTATAGTCACCGCAAATTTTGACAGAATGAAAGGAGTACCTAAAAAGAATATCCTCTATACAGGATTATGAGCTTTGTACAACTGAGCAGGACTATTTGGTGGAAGGTAAACTACTACAAAAAGTATTTGTATTGATGATATATTTGTAAGAATAAAGATTTGTTCAACATTATTAACATTAATACAGATAGGTAAAGAATTGTAGTTGGACTGGTTGGAGCTACCAGTATACCGCCACCTCTAGAACAATTACTAGATAAAGTGTTTCTATCAAACCTAAACACTAGAAAATTAGTGAGTTCAGAATTAGGATATCAAGATAAGCCAAGTTTCAGTTTACATAATGACATCATAATTTTCAAATATAGGAATATTAGCTATAATAAAATCTAATTTTTAGTACAATAACTGTACAATTTTATTATTTAATAGTATTAAGGTTTCAAATTTCATTATTTTTTCAAATTCTAAAATTTTCCCTATTTTATTAATCTTTTAGATGTGAATTTTATTTTTAGGTCAAGGACCTTCACCTAGGTCTGGATGTCAAATGTTTCCAATAGAGGATGGACGAATTTTAATATATGGTGGATATTTTAAAGAAAAAGTAAAAAAAGATTGTGACAAAGGAACAATGTTAATTGATATGTTTATTCTAACTCCTGAAAGTGAGCATAAAATCTGTTTATTAGTACACATTTCAACTGAATATTCTAAAAATATTCAAATAGAGACTAGATTATTTTTTAGTTTGTTTATATCTCTAGATTTTATTGGAAAAATTAAATTGATAAAATACATATTGACAATATTTAAATATGTAAAAAATTTTACAGAAGGTGTAACAGATTATTCAAATTGTCGTTGGTCAAAAGTAAAACAAACTGGTAATCTACCAACTGTTCGTTGTAGTTTATCAAGTACAATAATAACTGGTCATAATAAAAGTTTTTTATTTGGAGGAGTTTATGATGAAGAAGAAGAAGAAGATGACCTAAAAAGTATATTTTATAATGATTTGTTTATGTTAGACATGGAACAAAGTACTCCTACTTGGAAATTAAGTAAATAATATCAACATTCTATGATTTTTGTATTATAACTGAAAAAAATTAACCAATTAATTCATTTTATGGTCCAGGCCCCACCTTTAGAATACATAAAACATAAAAAAAAAAAATCTCAATGTAGTGTTAGTTGTATCAAAAGTTATAAGAGTTGTCAGTTAGATTGGATCCATTCTATATATACAGAGTGAAAACTCTGAAAACTTAATTAACTTTTGAACTAGTTAATATTTTTAACTGATTTTTTTTTTTTTATAACAGTTGTACATTAGGTCTATAATTATATCTCAATAATTTATATTTTATTAAAAATATTAATTATTTTTAAATTTTAAATAAAATATAAAAAAAAATCCAAGATAGTTATTTTGTAGAGTATATTTTAAGAAACATTTTGGTAAAAAAATATCTTATTAATATTTAGTAGTAAATAGTCTGTATCATTTTAAAGTTTGTGAAAATATGAATATTCATGTGTTATTTTACAGTATTAAACATTGAATTACGTGTTGAGACAAAAACAGAAGAAAAGTAAGATAAGTAGTTTTATCTCTTTAGAGATAAAACTACTTTTTAAATAATAGGTATTGTTCATGTTTTTATTTGAACTAAAGTCAGTCATTGGAATGTTAATAATTTTCATGGAAAATCCATACTGATATTATATTTAGTGTGAAAAGATGGTGTTTACTTCTGCCCTTTTTTTATATAACATAGCCAGTGTTTAATACCATAGAATAAATAAAGAAAAATTCAAATTTTTACAAAATTTAAAATGTTTTAAAAAATTAACTACCAAACATTAATGAGAATTTTTTTTAACAAATTATTTTTTTAAATCTATTCTAAAAAATTGCTATTTTGAAATTTTTTTAAATTTCATTATAAAAATAATATTAATTAAATTATTATTATAGCCCTCAAGCATATTAACTATTAAAACAAATTAACTGGATGAAAAATGATTTAAGTTAACAGTAAATGCTGGGTCATCCTGTATATATATAAATATATATGTGGGTTTACAGCACCATTTCCAGGGTCTAGAAGCAGATAGCGTATTATCTAGTATTAACATTAGGGAAACTTAAATTAAGTTGTGAGTTGACTAAGACGTGTTTTTGTCATTGTGTGCGTTTTGATTCATATGTGTATTTAGTTTATATATGTTTTTTGTTTGTGAATGTTTAATAGGTTTTGCGTGTTTATATAATAGTATTATGTCTTTGTTCTGTTCTTGTGGTTACCTGTTGAATCCCACATATTTATATATACAGTGATTTTTTTATCATGACCCACTCAACTACTTGCAGAATATATATAATTTAAACATTTTTTTTTCGGTTTTCTTTAGTTACACACTATTCTTGAATTATTAACTATTTAAAACTTAAAAATTCAATTAGCTACCTGTATTTGTAATCCCTTGTGTATTATACATGTATATTAACTCAAAAATTTGAAATTTTAAATGTTAATACCTAATAAACTAATAAAGTTATACTAAAAATTCAAATGCCATTTACTATTGAATTAAAAATCCAAACATTTTATTAAATTAAAAATGTGTTCCCATTTAAAAAAACAAAGTGACACCCTTACAAGGCATAAGGGATGAACATAAAAAGTTTTAAATAGTTAATAATTCAAGAATAATGTGTAACTAAAGATAATAATAAAAAAAAAAATTTTAATTATTATTATTCTATAAGTAATTGAGTGGGTTATGATAAAAAAATCACTCTGTATATTATTATTTATATATTTGTAATTTTATATGTTAATTTAAAAAATATTTTTTTAACAATAGTCTGTCTAATGATAATTTTCAGTTTCTATTAAAGATCTTACTATAGAAACAGATACAGTTGCTGAATTGCCATCACCAAGATCTCATAGTGGCTTAGCTTTCAAACATAATATGTTGTATGTTTATGGTGGAATTATTGAAAAAGGATCTAAGTCTCTAGTTCTCAGTGATTTCTATTCTATAGGTATTTATATTAATAATCAACAATGTAGACCATTATCTAAATTATCATTAGTTATGTGTTGTATGGTCACTATACCCTCCGGTATGACTTTACCCTGTTGGTGTAGGGATGACATGAGAGAATACACACCTTAACCGAAGTCAACATGACATTAACTTAGGTCATCTTATTCTATGACATTCTATAGAATACATATAATAATAAATACAACAATAAAGTCATCAAACCCTCTGAGGTTATCTTTTACATAATGTAATTACTTTAAGATTATAGTATACAGTGTAGGAGTTGATATTGTATTATATATAGTAAATAATATATAAATTTGTGTATGTTTATGTATATTATATACTATAAATAATGTGAACATACGGTAATTAAATCTTTATATTTACAAAATTACTGTAAGATTATAGTAGGATTATGCACACATAGCATGAGGAGGGGTTAATACTATACATATATAGTATATAGTATATACCATAGTAAAATGAATAAGAAGTAAGCTCGATCAAATTAGTGCGCATGATAAGCCTAGGGGTAAAATATGTAACCAACAATAAACTCAACGTGACGTCACATGTAAATACATTGCGTTGTATATATTCTATATTAAGGGGCACTGTCCCGTTATAGTCAACTATTTTAATGAACTTTTTTTAGTTAATTTCGGTTTTCAATTTCATTTATAATTTTTTTATTATTATTATTAACTTCAACTGTGTTGTAATACATCTTTATTGTATTATCTGCTACACTGTAGTAGTTTATAAACCAAGATTTAATTCGTTGATAAATCTAACCTGAGAAAAACTTTAACTGCATAGTAAAATTTTACTATGTTTAACTGCATATAAATAATTAAATATCAATTTATTGTGTAATTACTTACAGTAAGTATAAATTGTTACATTATTTATAAAAAATGTAGTTTTAATGATTATTTAATAAATTTTTGAATTTTTTTTTTATTGCTCATTTCTCGTGATGCAAGTTTTTTTATTTATATTCCGTATTCTAAAATATATTTTTGTTCTAATAATGAAGTTTTTGACTTCATCATCCACCAAAAGATTATCTGAATTACATGCTTTTTTAGTTAATTCCAGTACCTCCTTTATTAAGCCTGGAGTTTTTCTAATATCATCTATTAAAAATTTAATCATAGGTATGTAAAAATATTTTATATTAACTGTATTTCTATAAGTACCATTTTCATTTAATTTTTTAAAAATAGTTCCTATGATTTTTCCTAAATTTATTAATGTAGGTGATGGTTGTCGTAATGTTCCAAATTATTTAACCTCTATGCAATCATTAGGTTCATTCAAATTATCTACAAGATTCGGATATTTGTATTCAAATTTAAAAGCTACATATCCCCATTAAATATGTTAGGCTGTCCTCAAATAAATCTGATGGATTATATTTATTATTAGCAGCACACTAAAAAAATATACAATGAAAAGGTACTAGAAATATTGAAATATTATATTATATAATTTTTATATTATAAAAATAAAATAAACATAATCTATATTTCAAGATTATATTATGCTATCTCTCTCATTCACTTAATAAGTAAAATAATTTCTATAAATAATGTTGATTGTTTTTTAAAATTCACATTAATTAATACTCATTCATTTTTTTAGAAAAAAAAAATGCTATGCGCTATGTTTTCCAAAAATGTACCATCTTAACTTAATGTAATATATTTAATATTAATTTCTTAAGTTAATGTGGTGTTAATTCAATGTTAAAACATAAAAAAATAAGTCTGCACACTAGTTAATATAGCTCACGTTTAATTAACGAGGTACAAAATCCTAATTTTTCATTAAAATACAAAAGTTACAACAAAAAAATACATAGAATCTAAAATAAGTATCCACGATTAAATTTATTATAAAATATTATTGAATGCGTTGTTTTAAAGTAATTAATATAATTATTACTTAAAAATTATGTCTATCATATATATTATATCAGAATTATCAATTTAAAAATCGCCCGGTTTTAAAGTGCATTCGGAAGCGGTCGTATTTCAACGATCGTATACGAATGCACAAAAACACAAGGCGATGCACTTGCGCGTACTACGACGAAAATGCTGACTGTGATCGAGCATACTTCTTATTCATTTTACTATGGTATATACCATATAAATACTATTTATCTATATAATATTGATGATTTAAAAAAAAATTCATTTTTATACCGTTATTAGATTTATATATACATGTATATTTGTTTTTGTTAAATACTTGTCCATTTCCCTATTAACCTCTATACCTTGGACTAGTTCATTCATACTTAGTATTTTTTGATATAATTAAATTTATCTTCTGTAGAGTATAATATTCATCTATAGTTTTTTTTAAATAAAAATAACACTATTTTCTGTTTTAGAATAATAAATAGTAATTACATCAAAATTTATTTTATAATTAAACATTTATTTATTTATTAAACATCATACTTATACATAATTAATTATAAATTTGTTGTTATCTGTATTCTCCTTGTATATCAAGTGTAATTTCTTTTCTGCAGTCAAGTTAAAACATTGAATTTCTTCCGTTATATAAATCCATGAAAAATTCGTCTATAATTGTTTTTAAATTTTTGGCAGACATTTTATTGATGGACCAAATTTTGATTTTACTCTCAACATCTCGAGTATAGCATATTTTCTCTTGATTGTTAGGTCACCGATAGATTTGAAGTTATTTCTCACTTGACTAGTTTTTGATTTAGCTATTCCATTTTTGTTTTAAAATTTATAAACGTTATAACAATATTACTACAAAAAACCATATGTTTGATTTTCAGAAACAGTACATCATTTTTTATACTTATTTTTAACATGCTTATATTAGTTTAACTTATATGTGTGATGTGTGTTTGTAACTTTCCATGCGGCACGTGTCATCTCGCGTATCCCGTCGTCTAGACTAGACGTCGTAACGCATTCACCCCACCCCGCTCACCAATCGCCAGCTACACTAATCCTGTATAATTTTATACTTTTGGTTTTCGTACCTGTACACGCATGCGTGACATTAATTTTATATATATATATAAACGAATTTTTATTTTGACTGACCAATACCACCTGCATGTAATGCGCCTTACGTATATATATTAATATAATTCCTACCGCGCTGCAGCCGTTTGTACTTTAGTTAAAACGTTCCCCCGCCCACAAAACAAGGCTATACCTAGTGCATGATACGTTTACGTACTTATGTCGCTTTACATGTATATATATATTCTAATTACTATTAAAACTCATATATTAATACGCTTTATTCTCATTAAGAGATATGTAGTGTATTTATTCCGATTACAAAGGATGATTCTCGTATCGTCACTATCTCCATGTTCCGGGAGTGGGTAATTTACGGGCCTGCTGCTTTCCTTGGATGTGGTAGACGTTTTTCAGACTCCCTCCCCGGAATCGAACCCTGATTTTTCCCGTTACCCATTACAACCATGATATTGATAGTAACTACTATCATAACTAAAAAGTTAAAAATAATTTTTAAAATAAACTTAAAACAATAATGAAAGAAAAATACTAGTATTATTGTGATAAAAGCGTGGGTTCTGTGTCATATTTTTCGTATATTGAGCGCCGGACACTTTTATCACTATAATACTAGTATTTTTCGTTCATTATTGTTTCGATGTTTTAATAGCTTGTTTTTTTAAACTATATTTTTAGTTTCATGTTATGATAGTAGTTAATATCAATATCATGGTTGTAATGGGTAACGGGAAATCAGGGTTCCGTAGAGGAAGTCTGAAAAACGGCTACCACATCCAAGAAAAGCAGCAGGCGCGCAACGTGAAGGTAGTGACGAAAAATGACGATACGNTATATATATATATATATTAATATTAGCGGCGATGGTAGGAATATAATCTTCGCATAATATCGCGGCACTATCGCTGGCGTAGACGACGCGATGTCCGGAGTGATCCTCGGGTGTCAAAAGGTTAGCAGCGTTGATGACGACGGTGCGCGAGTGCGGATCGGTTCGTCGACGTTGTCACTTTGACAATGGGAAGAAGACTGCGGTATTATTTGCGGCGGGACGTCGTCGGCCGTGCGGCACTTCCTGGACTTTGCACCGCGGCATATAACGCAGAATGTTGGTCAGTCAAATACTCATAGTATGGCGACGGCTGATAAAGGTGGCACGAGTCGCGGGGCATTGTGTATAACGAAGCGATGCGGGGCCGTATCAGTCAAAATAAAAATTTATTGTATGTATATATATTGATAACACGCGTGCGTCTACGGATTAGAAAATATTGTTTTCGTTGAGTGGTGAGCGGGGTGGGGTGAATGTGTTACGACCGTCTAGTCTCAAGGCCGTAGACACGTGGCGAGTGAAAAGTTACAAACAACTCACAAACATACAGGTGAAACTAATATAAGCGTGTTAATAAAAAACTAGATTTTGTGTTTCATCTATAAGTTACAAAAAATACATGTACCAATAAGTTCATTACCCTATGTTAATAGCACATAATTAGTCGTGTATCTTTGTATAAATAATTGGCGATTTTTACTCATAATTTAATAGTTGATGAAACACAAATTTGAAATAATTAGTTCCATTAAAAATGTTTTCGTGTTATAAACGTGAAAAAACTTTTTCTGTTAAAAGAAGTTTTAGTGAGACATCAAATAAAACACGATGATGTGAGAATTCCATGTCATTTATGTAGTTCAACATTTTTAGAAAAATATGAATTGGTGCATCACGCTAAAAAAAAACACCGTGAGTATTACAATTATTTTATAATTAAAAAAAATGTATATAATTTAGTGAATCGCGTATTAAAAAATATAATAGATCTTGCAACGCATGGAATTCACGATAGGAAATCACGCTGATTGAGGAACTTTAATGTCATGTGGTATGTAGTTATAATAATTTGTTTAATATACATATATAGAGATAGCTAGTGTGTGTTTTTATTAGAGATTATATTTTTTTATTGTAGGAAATGAGAACGTTGTCATACAATTGAGTACTAGTGGAATGATTTGGAAGTGACATGCAATTTCTTATAATTATAATACAGTTAGGAATAAATGAACTAAACAAAAACGATTGGATGATTGTACATCAAATAATTTTCAACTAATAAGTTCATCGTTGAAAATATTTTATATTATAAAAAAAATTAGGATAAATTGATGGTTATCAATAACTTTTATTTCTGATAAAAAACAAATTGATGAAAAAATTAAAAGAATGTTTAGTAAACTTTAATGCTATAAATTTCAATTTGAGATTAGAAGTCGCCTATCATATACCCCATCAGGATAACACAAAGGAAATTTGTTAGTTAAAACTAACACTGTGAAATTATTTGACGGCAGAATTATCGAGGAGATTGTTAAAATTGAACTCGAAAAATTATATGACGAGCATGAAAACTACGCGGGGAAGGGGAGCAATTACAAATATACTCAACTGTCTGCAAACTCGTATATCAATTTGCAAAGCGTTATAAAAATAAAAAATCCGTTATAAATTCCCAAAATATTGATAATTTATTTTTTAAAAGGATGGCATTAACCAAAAAAATAAAGGTGAATAACATTAATATTGTCGGTAATAATTATAAATCATTAAAACACGACTATGATTTTACCGGAATAAAATTTCCAACACCTTTGGATGAAATTAAAACATTTGAAAAAAATAATTAAAGGACACCTGTTAATGTTTAAGAGTTGAAGGCTATAAAAATTAGCGATACAATGAAATTCGAGCATTTAGTATACCCATTAAAAGTGATCGATGAAGAACAAGAGAACCAATATAGGTTAATTACTATTATCTAACACTGTTGGTAGTAATCATTACGCATACATTTCGGTAGATTGGTTTAAAGTAAGTTAGATGAACAAAAATAATTAAAAAATTATTTTTTGTAAAGATGCTTTTCAGGCTTCAATTTTATAGTAAAAAATATAAATTATATGAATTGGAAGCTTTAAAAGAGTATAAAAAAAATCTGTGGCGATTATAAAAACCTTTTTACTAAAAACACTAACATTTGTACTTTGTTATCTATATAATATGAGCAACTACGATGTTCATATTAATGTAACTCAATTAGGATTATTTAAAAATAGCATTTCGTTAAGACCGTCAAGCGAAGAAAAATATATAAGTTTTTCAAAGTATGTATCAAATAAAGTCAGTGTAAGATTTATTGACACGTTCAGATTTATAGCCTCTAGTGTAGCTTTACTGACCAAAAATTTACATACTGCTGGTAAAAATCTATTTGTTAAAACCGCTAAAGTTTTTTCACCGGACGAACTCGATTTAGTAACATGGAAAAGAGTGTACCCATATTCGTTTACTGATAATTTTGACAAGTTAGATAATACACAACTACCAGAAAAAAAACTTTTACAATGAGTTTACAGAAAGTCATATTTATAACGATGATTATGAACATGCTAAGAAAGTATGGAAACACTTCTTGAAAAAAATTGTGTGAATACTCATATTTATATTTAAAAACCGATGTTACATTATTAGTGGATATTTTCACAAATTTTAAAAGATGGTGTTTGGAATAATATAAATTGGAGGCGTCATATTATCATACCATTCCGAGATTTTCTTTTGATGCAATGCTGCTTTATACAGGTATAAATCTTAAACTCTTGACTATGAAAGACAAATTTCCATTTCAAGGGGAATTAGGAGAGGATTAACAGCATATAAAACAATAGTTTTCAACGTGAATTTTATGTGATAAGTAATTTTGTGAATAAATTTAAGTTATAATACAATGTAATTTTCCATACTTGTTTAGTTTAAGATAAAATAAATAAATAATATTCGAATTAATTAAAAGTATTATTTCATTAAATCTAAATTGTATCTTATTGTTATTAAATTATACTATTATTCAAAACAAATAATAAAATATTTAAGTTCTATTTCAATAACTAACAAAATTTAAGAAAAAAAGTTGTTCAGTATTTATGGTCTTCGAACATCTACTAAATGGCTTGTATTGTAATATGCTGTCGAATATTTTATAAAATAAAAAGTTTTTTAATCAATTAAAACCATTCATTTTTATATTTTTAAAGTATTTACTATCGAATTATTTTTGATATGATAATAGGTTTGAACTAGAAATGATAACTGATTTCTATTTAAGTGATCTATTACGATAAAAATGCAAAAAAAATATTGAGCTTTTCTTATAAATTGACGGTATAATAGTAATTATAAAATTTCCTGAATTCATATTAATTTTAACTATACCATTTTTTTAATTCTCAATAATCAAAATATTCTATTTAATGATGTCAAACATGCAATTTGAGCTAGAAGTCAAGGTAACAATATAAACTTTTTGATGAATAAAATTTATTTTAAAGGACCAAAAAAAGTAGGTTAAAATTGATATTTTGCATATTTTGATATTATTTTTAATATATTAATAATTAAAATTGCGATATGAGGACAGCTGATGTGAGCGTAGATGATCTGGGAAATTGTGTCAAGTGCAAGTTTAGGATAAGGGTGGCCGACCCCAAGTAGTTGGGATTAAGGCGAGGAAAAAGAAGAAAAAGATATTAATAATTAAAATCAGTAATATTTTAAAACAGTTTTTTTTTGTTTTTAATTACCTTTTTATATGTTAATACTCATTTTTTAATAATTAGTAATAATATCAAAACTTAGATGTGATAGAACAAGTCTAATTTCAGATTTGAAATTAGTGCAAAATGTTAATTTAGAAAAGTATATATTTGATTCCTTGAAGACCAATAAATTTATTTATAAGTTACAATTTTTTTTAAAGGAATACATTAAGCCCTTTCAACTTGTTTACACTTTTGCTCTAAAAGTAATATCTACTTAATATTTTTTTATAATTTCTCCGTAAAAATTACAATATTAAATTATTAAATATTAATTTCATACTATATATAATTGCTATAATAAATATTTATTTATAAATTATACTTACAAATCTAAGAAGTACTAATCAATACATAACTAAGGAAATAGGCGTTGATGTTGCTTTTGTAATTATGCACCAATATCTTAGAATTAAACATTAACTACAGATTTGCATAGAATCGTTTCTTATGATAGTGATTTTAATCACTGTCAGATATCATTTATACTTGTCCCGACTATGCTACGTCCAAACTGTGCCGCGACCCCACTGTAATACCGTTTTTTCACCTGCCGTCCCAAATATTCTACCTAATAAGTATTAATACATGAAAACATTTTATTTAAAAATATTTTTTTATTAAATAATTATTATTTTTTTTTAATAATCCATGCAAAATTTCAATTCAAAATGTTCTTTTTAATTAATTTTTTGATCCTTTAAAGTTGATTTCAATGAAAGTTTATAATTTAAAAATGTTAAACTTTTAAACACTATTTTAGCTCAACTTGCAAGTTTAGAATTTATATCATGAAATAGAAAAATTTTATGAGGAAAATTAAACATTTCGTTACAATCATTATTTTTTTATATTTTTATAATCATTTAAATAGAAGTCCTAGTAATAATTTTTATATAACACTTGGAGTTACAATTGAAATATTCAGAACTATATTGCCTATTGTTATATCCTATAAAATTGTATAATATACTTCTTCTTCTTCTTCTTTCTCGCTTTAATCCCAACTACTTGGGGTCGGCCACCTTTATCCTAAACTTCCTTTTGACACGTTGCTCTTGTAATTATGCACTAATTTCTTAGAATTAAACACTATCTACGGATTAATATCCAATCATTTCTTATGATAGTGATTTTAATCACTGTCAGATATCATCTATACTTGTCCCAAATATCCTACGTCCATACTTCGCTGCGAATACTGTGATACCGTTTTTAAATTTGTATGCGTATTGAAAGTATTATTATTATTATTTAGTATTAGTTTTACGAGAACATTAACTTAAACATAAATTTTTATTTACACAAAGTTTGTGTTTAATTAGTTAATTATTGTTTATGTAAAATATTATTCGTTATATTTTTGTAAATTTAACTATACTATTTTTAAATTGGGATTTTCGATCATCATATAAATATTTAAGGATTTGATCTTACTCAACCTAATATTTTTTAATAATTTATTTATAGATACCAAAAAGTTTAATAAATGGAATGTTATATGTAAAGACAATATATTATCAACAGTTAACTCAGATACTAGTTCTGATGATATGTCAACAGATAAATCAAGCTCAGACTTTTCAGATTCTAATTTATCTTCAGAAGATGATTCTGATGAACACATGGATACAGACTAATTTCTCATGTTTTATATAACTGTTGTATAATTTTATTGTTATAATTATCAACTATACGATGTTTAAATATATTTTTTTTCGCTAAATAAATTTTGTTGTTGTATATTGATAAAAAATTGGCCTCATTACAATTCTAATGTATTGAAGGAGTATGCTGTGGAATAATTGATTGACTTAACATTTTTTAAATTACTCCTATATTTTTTTTTAATACTCATAAAAATGAACTGTACAAAATTTGTGACTCATTCTTTATGGTTAACCCATGCCCCCACACATCTCAAGTTCATGAGGCAATTTTAGTAAAAATAACCGATCTATGTCTCATAACATTTTTTACTTTTAACTTAAAATTATAAAATTAAAACTCATGTAGAAGAAATTTCATAATAACTTGAATATTGTTTTATTAATAAATAGCTAAAAAAAACTTTACATACAGTACAAAACATGCAAGTCTTAAAAATACATTATAACTGATTTTGTTAATTTTCCTTATTTATTTTCATTTTATTCTTGGAATAACGCTTCTTCTACCTCGTCTTAATCCCAACTACTGGAATCGGCCACCTTATCCTAAACTTCCTTATCTCACAAAAATTATATCAAATATAAGGAAAATACCTAAGGTTTCTATATCTTCTTCTTCTTTAACTCGCCCTAATTCCAACTATTTGGGGTCAGCCACACTTATCCTAAACTTCCACTTGTCACTATCTCTCACATCAGCTGTCCATCTCATTTTTGGTCTTCCTCTGCCTCTTCTTCCTTCAACATTCATTTCTATAACTGTTCTTACAGCTTCCGATTCCTCTCTCCTCATAACATGACCAAACCATCTAAGTCTATTTTCTCTCATCTTCTTCACGATTGATACTACATTTATACTCCCTCTTATATGCTCGTTCCTTATCCTATCTTCTCTAGTAACTCCTCTCATCCATCTAAGCATTCTCATATCTGCTACATTCATTCTCTGCTCTACTTTCTTGTCAACTGCCTAACATTCTGAACTATATATCATAGCAGGTCTCACTACAATTTTATAGAATTTACCTTTCAGTCTTATTGGAATTCTTTTATTCTTTTAGTGTGTTATTCATAACACAATTGACACTTCTCTCCATAATTTATATGAACATAACAAAAGTCACAATGATATAAAATTTGTATTATAAATAGTGATCGGTTTATCATAAAACATTCGATTATTTTTAAAATATAAACCCAGCACAACGGGGTTGTGGCATAGTTGGGTCAAGTATAATGATATCTTTTTTTTTCTCTCCTTTTTAATCGACTTGATGTGGGCCGCCCTGGAACAATAGATAATAATATCTGACAGTGATTAAAATCACTATCATAAAAAACCCTTTGATGCAAATCTGTAGATAGTGTTTAATTTAAAAAACTTGATGAATTATTCCAAAAGCTACATGATCTCCTATTTCCTTATTTATATCCTGATTACAAGTTTTATGATTCATAAGTGTAATATATGAGTATATATTTATATACTTATAATATATAAATATATAAAGGGAAATGGTGTTATTTAAAAAAAAGTATGCGAATAGAGGGATATAAATATTATTTCTCATAAAAAAATTGTATTAATCCATATACTTTTCAATAAGCTATAACATATAACTGTAATAAGTTATAAAGTTAAAAATATAAAATCGAAAATTTTCACACAAAAATAGCATTTGGTTCTATTTTCGCCATGAAGACAAAATAAAGTCCGAATTTTTCTTTTTCCATAATAAAGTATATTACATTATCTTTAATTTAACATATATATAAAAGTGTCACAATTTCTGGAACACTTTCAAAAGTTAAGCTGAAAAAGTAAATTTTTTGTGAAAAAGTTGTCATTTTAAATCCCTCCATGTGTGCAGTTAAAGGGTCAGATTTATAAAAAAAATATACCAAATGATAGGTAAAGACATCAAGCATCTATAAAAAAAAGTTATATTGATTTGTTCATTTTTGAAAAAGTTATGGCACTTTTAAGTAAAAAAAATTGAAAAAATATCGAAAATTAGCGATTTTTAAATTTGTAATTTTTTTGGAGATTTCCCCCATTTATGGGGAACGAGGGAATTTTTTTAAATTTTTGTGGGTAATTTCTTCGACTAGATACGATTTGTGATCTTTTGACGTATCGTTGAAAGAAATCCATTCTGTGAGAGCTGAGAAAAAGTGGTAACAGACAAGAAAAAAAAGACATCATAGTAAAACCAATACTTTCTCAGCTTCGCATCGAAGCTAAAACAATTAAATGATAAATTATATAGTTAGTTAAATATTAAATTGATGTCAGTGAATTTTTTAGAACAATTGGTATTTATGTTTAAAATAAATTAAATTGAAGTAAAGTAAATAAAATGTATTCATAGTTATTTATAATGTACAGCATATTTTTAATTGTCAATTAAATTTGATTAATACAAGTATTATTTGAAATGCTTACAATTTAAATATATTTCTGTTTACCATATTTTATATTATTCAAAATTAACTGAACTGTTCTATATAAAGGAAATCAATTTAATAATAAAAACTATATTTCACGTTTACTTGATATTATTGAAATTATATTGCCAGTATTGAACTTTCATTACTGTTGCAGTAATAATCACCATTAAAAATGCGTTTCTATTTTTGTTTTGGAATTTCACTTTGTTTTATTTGTTTAATTATCATACCAAAGTTTTCATTCGGAGTGCCATGCACGGATGGAGAATCTTCTAACAATGAGGTAAAATAAGTATTTAAAGTTAATGTATTATATTATAATATAATACATTCATTTTCAATCTAGCAAATTGATTGCTCTTAAAATAATTATCAAGTTTAAAAAAATATATTTGGGTTTAATTATATATTACATGATTTATCAGCTATTAATTCCTTTTTAGATCATTCCTTATAACTTATAGAAATGTAAACTTATTTTTTAACTGGCTTATTAGTTAATAACGGTAGCACAGTGTAGTCGCGACACAGTGTGGACGTGGCATAGTTGGGACAAGTATAGATGATATCTGACAGTGATTAAAATTACTATCATATAAAACGCTTCGATGCAAATCTGTAGATAGTGTTTAATTTTAAACAATTGATAGATTATTCCAAAAGCTACATTATCATATTTCCTTATTTTATCCTGATTAGTAGTTATTATATTTAAAAGTATAATTTATAAATAAAAATGTATTATAGCAATTAAATAGGTATGAAATTGATATTTAATAATTTAGTATTGTAATTTTTACGGAGAAATTATAAAAAAATATTAAGTAGATATTACTTTTATGGCAAAAATGTAACAAAGTTGGAGGACTTAATGTATTCCTTAAAAAAAAAAAATTTTTTTTGTTACTTATAAATAAATTTATTGGTTTACTAGGAATTTTCATCAAAGACCAAAATATACTTTTCTAAACCCATTTTAGCGCCTATTTTAAATCTACAATTAAACTTTTAAATATTGACTAAATAAAAACAAAATTCTTCTAATTAATATAACAAATATTTATGTTTTTGAGTTGTCCTTATAAATGTACTGTTAATAGTAATTATATAAGTTTCTGATTACATATAAATCTAAAAAAAAACAATTTTCCTCATAAAATTTTCTATTTAATAATATAAATTATAAACTTACAAGTTGAGCTAAAATAGTATTTTTATACTATTTATAGTAAAACATTTTTATATTATAAGTTTTCATAAGAATATACTATAAAGGATCAAAAAAATAAGTTATAAATGATATTTTGAAATGAAATTTCGCATGGATTATTTTTAAAAATTAATAATAATTAATTAATATTAATAATAACTTGATAAAAAATTTTTTTTTATAACATTTTTTCATGTGTAAATACTTGCTTTCTAATTAGTAATAATCTCAAAAATGAGGTAATTGAATTTTTGAACTAGCTTTAATTGACTTTATTTATAATAAATATTAATACCTGTAGTCATAAGCAAATAATAGTTAATATCTTCTGGGAAATGCATTTGCTAATGTTTTTCCATGACCAAGAGGTGAAAATATAAAACTATATGATAATTTTCTCATATTCTAAAATGTAAAATTTTTAGTGGTTCAAAGTTTTTGACTAACATTAAAGAGTATACATTTTTATATAAAAATGACATAAAAGTAATAACTGCTTTATAATTTTTTATCATTTCTCCAAAAATGTACAATACTAAATTATTAAATATCAATCTCATACTATATTTAATTGCTATAATAAATATTTATTCATATATTTTAATTCTAAATCAAAGAACTACTATTCAGGAACAACAAAGGAAATATGAATTATTATTTTAATAGATATTGAATGGCTAGTGTTAAAAGAATAAGACTGTAATCATGTCTTTCGTGAAAATATGAATTTTTGTTTTAGTTTATTTAAGTAGTATTTTTACAACTATCACCTATAAGGGCATCAACTTCATTATTTTAAATGTCAACATACATAATAACTTGTTTATTAATTAGGGGATGAAATATCATTTTTTTATTTACTGTATACAATTTTTCAAGCACAATTTAACATTATTAGTAACCAAGTATATATTAAAACTTTTTCATCAGTTTATTTACAATGAAGTAAATATCACTTAATAAACATAAACATTTAAATATCAATAACTAAAATATAATTAAAGAATAGATCTCATATTATTTATATTACATTATTACATAAATAACAAAATATAAAATATACTGTTATTTTTATTAGTACAAGTAATAATAAAACAACATTAAAATTTGTTTAATCATTTGTGAGGACTTAAATTCAACAATTTTTTTAAATTATAATAATATTTTGAAGTAAATAGATTAAAAATATAAAATTATTTTTATAACTTAGGTAGTTTTACTAGCTAACTATTGTTAAGTCAATAAATTATTATTTGGTAAACAGTAATGTACTTAAATTAGAAATATGATTTTAATGTTTAAATATTGTGTTCTGGTATTTCTACTAATGATGTTTCTATTTGAAAGTCACTAGTATTTAATGATAACGAACTAATTGTTAATGTTGATGGAGGAACTGTGGTGTTTGATCGCCAATGAGTAAACGGAAAAAAAGACCCAATGTTTGGTTGAGTATACAGGTCTAGTAGATCTCCAGAGTTTTTGTTTTGAACTGACATTAATGTTCTAATCATTATATTTTCCTGAGAAAAATTAGATGTCAAAATAAAAAAATAGAATAAAAGGTTTTTTGAAATTTGGAAGAAATACATTTGTACTTGTACACACTACCAAATTTAGGAACCATTATTGCTCATAATTAGTCATAATAATTATAATCAGTCTAATAACAGTTATAATAAAGCGAGTAAAAAAAAAATTAGATTTCATTCATACATAATTTAATCAAGCATTTTTTTAATATGAAATTGAATTTAAAATTATAATTAATTTCATTTAAAAATTTATATTATAAAAAGATTTAAATGAAATAGAAATTAAATTAACATGACATTCTTATTTTAATAATATTGTAACTTGGAGACTTATTGGTTCAAATTTGAAAAATTTAGGAATGTACAACTATTAAAATTCCTATACCAACCATTTTAAATTAAATAAACCATTAATGTTTATAGGCCCCAGCGCCGGCCCCTTATCCTGTTAATCAATCACTGGGTTTACCAAGATTACCAAATTCTTAAAATTAAGTTCAAAATTACTTCAGTTAAAATTGAAAATTGTTAATAAATTAAGAGTACAACAGCATGTATTAATTGAATTTTTTTCTATAGAAAGTTAATGAAATATTATAAGATAGATAAATTTAACTTATTAATAAGATTAAAAATAAAATAGTTAAATAAAGTTTATATAATGTACATATTATTATTATTATATTTATGTACATATTCTTAATTTTAAATGAATAAATTAGATATTTAATTTTGGGTTAATTCAAATCACAAATAATTGTAAATTTATTATATAAATAATATATTAAAATTTTAAGTGTTTTATACTTACCAATGGTTTGCCTCCTTTTGATATTTCTAAAGTTGGTAGAAACCTATAGTAACACTGTGTCCAAACATTAAGACAAGATATCTCGCAGGACACTTTAAGTAATCCACTAAATGATGAATCATAAAAAGGATTGTGAAACTGTATCAAATCTTGATCAATAAATTGTTCTTCCCAGTCCCAAATTGAACGTAACATTAAAGGACTTGCTACATCCTACAATGTTTAAAATAAACTAATTCAATTCAAAATTTAATAGAAATACGTTTAGTTTTAATACTGACAGTCTTCGCATAATACCGATCACGCTCGTTGTCAAATAGAAATGTATCAAAAATAGAAATATGTGATGCATCCCATAATGTGGTCAAGTAAGTTTCGGTGAATTCAAATTTAGTAGGAAATTGTTGTATTAACTGCCACACACAATCCAAAAATAAGAGAAGTAACGGTGACTAAAAAAATAAAAATTTATTAATAAATTATTTTATTATTGTTTTATTATAGATGGACATCGAAAGGTCCTCAAATTGAAATCATTTTTTGTATTATTGTCATATGTGTAACAAGTAGTGTATTTTAAAATTTGATGTTCCGTACTAATAGACTTGTTCTACCATATTTTGAACTTTTATCCCCTAATAAAACAGATCTTCTAGTCAACAAAATGTATGATTTGAGTTAATATAAAAGATTTTTTAAATGTACTTATGAATTGGTATAAGTAAAAATTTTGAATTTTTATGTTACCTTATATTTTATATCTTTATTTTAATCCAAACTGCAAGTGAAATAATTATTGTAAGAATAAAAAAAAATTATTAATAATATTTATTAAAATCTTTAAAAAGTTGCTTTTAATATGATGTGTTTTTTTCTGCAACCTATGTACGTACTTCAAATATTAAGAAATAATATTGTTTAATTATGTACCAAAGAAAACCAATTAGCTCCAATTAAATACATAACGCTCAAAAATTTAAAAAGAATTCCTGTTTTTTTTTCTATGTCTTAAAATATCTATGTTTAATTCAAAATTACGTAAAATTAAATTTTTTTACTAAATTTGAAGTGTTCAAACTTTTTTTTTAATAAATTTCTACGAAATTTTGAATAGATATGAGAAAAATTTACCATTTTCTTAATATACTTTTTTTTTTTTTGAAAATCTAACTAATATCCTAATTAATTACAGGGCGTCTTTAACAAAGTTATTCCACACGTTAGAAATGTTTTCATATCAATTTTTCAAAATTTTCTAGAATAATCTCGTTCTTAAAATATATACTAAATTAAAGCTTTTCTAGTATACTTTTAGATTGAAAAAAAATTGCCCAGCAATTATTATAAATAATCAGTCATCCAAGTCAAAAACCATAAAATGTAAAATGTGTAATTTTTTATTTATAAAATATTTTTTACGTTATTTTTTTTAAAAGTATTAACTCTACACATTAGGGATCGTTCTGGCCTAGTGGGTAGAAACGTATGTTTCAACGCACGGTGTCTCGTGTACATCCCCAGGGTGCCAATGAGATTTTTCTTGTGATTTTCTCATTGGTGGTGTCTGGTCTCGGGTGCAAGATGGCCATTCTACACATCCCGTTCATCTTTGGACTAGCCATGAACTATCTTTGATTCCCTAACATGAGAAAGAAGACCACCACACTTTGTAGCATGCGAAGTTCGAAAAATAGAAGGATTTAACATAAATCATTTATTTTTTTCGTTGAAAAAAAAGTTTCCTTGAGTTTATGGGAAATAATATGCACTGATAACTCAAAAAATCAACTATATGTCAATATACCTAAACACTCAAAATATGCACAATTAAACTTCAAATTTTTATTAATATTTGTAGTTTAATTAACATGTATTCCTGATAAGCAAAAATGAAAACATCTAAATTCATGAACTTATGAGTTTTGCTCATAACTTTCGATTTCAATAATAAATTTTGTTTATTATTTTACAATTTTCTTATAACATCTTGTCATCGAAGCGTTTTATGAAAGTAATGTTAATAACATTAAAATTATAATCAATACTGATATTTACTATGCTGGGTCCTACTATAATAGGTTTTTTGTCACCATAATTTTATTAAGGATATTTTTTTAAATTTTTATTGTAAATGTATCTTTACAACCATAGGAAACGGAAAAAAATTGTTGATATGGAAAAATGTACTCAAGACGAAAAATTTGGTTTTAATAAGAGAAATTATGACATCATTTTTTTAGAATTATTAAATTAACTATAATTTAAATATTTCATATTTAGTATTTAGCTGTTAATAAAAAAAATGTTTTTTTTTTCTAACCGTCGATAGCAATTATAAAAGGCGCTAAAAAGCAGCAAAAAATAAGTGGTTTTTCGCTTAAATAAGTATAAGCTGTGCCTCTAAACTCACTAGCCTGGGCAAGGCATAATGGTTCTATTTTAATACAGATAAAATTAGAGGTAAATGTCATAATCATTTATTTTTAATAAAATTTTGATTAAATGTAAAGAAAAAATTTTGCGAAAGAGTTTAGAATTTTGAAGCTGGAAGGTATTAACTTTACTATGATGTGAATACTCGTTCATTTTAGCTTCGATGCGAAGCTGAGAAGGTATTGGTTTTACTATGATTTGTTTTTTTTTTTGTGTCTGTTACCACTTTTTCTCAGCTCTCACCGAACGGATTTCTTTCAACGATACGTCAAAAGATCACAAATCGTATCTAGTCGAAGACATTACCCACAAAAATTTAAAAAATTTCCCTCGTTCCCCGTAAATGGAGGAAACCTCCAAAAAAATTACAAATTTAAAAATCGCTAATTTTCGAAATTTTTTCAATTTTTTTTACTAAAAACTGCCGTAACTTTTTTAAAAATGAACATATCAATATAATTTTTTTTTATATAGATGCTTGATGTCTTTACTTATCATTTGGTATATTTTTTTATATCTGACCCTTTACCTGCCCACAGGGAGGGATTTAAAATAACAACTTTTTCACAAAAAATTTACTTTTTCAACTGAAATTTTGAAAGTGTTCCGGAAGGTCTGAGACTTTTATATATATCTTAAATTAAAGCTAATGTAATATACTTTAATTAAAAAAAAAAAAAATTGACCTCTAAACTTGTCTTCACGGTAAAAATGGCTATCAAATGCTATTTTTGTGTGAAAATTCTCGATTTTTTTTTTTTACATTTTTAACTTTATAATGGTATAACTTATTGAAAAGTGTATGGATCAACAAAATTTTTTTATGAGATATAATATTTTTTAATAATCCCTTTTTCATTCGACATACTTTATCTTAATCAAGATATTAATAAGAAACTAGCAGATCATGTAGCTTTTGGAATAAAACACCAATTTTTTTAAAATTAAACACAATCTAAAGATTTGCATCGAAGCGTTTATTTTTGATAGTGATTTTAATCACTGTCAGATATCATTATACTTGATCCAACTATACCATGGCATCACTCTGCCACGACCCCTCTGTGCTGGTTTTTTTTTTTTTATGTTTTTACTTTTTCAACATCAAAAGATCATAAATCGTATGTATCTAGTTAAATATATTACCTTTCTCCCTCACTAATTTACGATTGTTAAAATCGTCAAATTTCGATATTTTTTAATCTAAAGGGAGCACAAAAAATTCTTAAATGAATAGCAATTACAAAAACTGACGACTATTTTTTGCTCAAATTAAGAGGAAAAATAAAGTTATTACAAGGAGTATAATATACATATTAACTACTATATAAAATACTAGAGTTCGCTAGATGTGTGATGTAAGGTATTTAAAGATAAAAAATATTTAGATAAGAAACTAAAAACTCATAAAAATGAATAGATTGTTGTAAAACATAGGATTTTCTCTAATAAACATTTTAATTAAAACTAACATTTAGCTTATTTTAACAAGTTTTATTAATAGTTAATTATTTTAAAAAACCATATTATCACAATTAAAATTAATTTCTTGGCAGAATTTTTCCCTATTTTTGGTGTATTTAGTGTAAGTAAAATTACAAAATAACTTTTGTGTTTAAACAAAATCTTCAAAAAAAAAAAAATTATTTATTTACCAAAGGCTATCGTTTTTAAGGACGGATAAATTATTTAAAAAAAAAAAGTAATGCATAATATTTAGCAGATCTTAAGTTATAAGCTTTTTAAAAATATTGTGGACCACCTATATAATTTCATTATTTTTTGAATGTTTAAGTCTACCTTAGCTGCACTAATTTCTTAGGCTAGTCCAATATAAGAACCAATATGTCTTAAATTTACTTGCTGGAATTTTTTTTTACTTGTTTTAACTAAACACTACTATAATAATATTATTATTTCAAAATAATTGTTATAGTTTAGTAATGATTATTATAAATTATTATCATTATTGAGGAATTTTATTAAAAATTATGAAAAATGTTGATAGGTTATCAAACCTAAAATAGCAATAAATAAAGTTTTTTAGATTATTTAAATTGTTTAATCAATTACTATCCATGTTTTACACGATGCTAATAAATGGTTCAATAAATTATGTAGAAAATGGCTGAAAACAAAATAAGCATTATATTTGTAAATTGTATTGGATCAGATATTCATTTATGGAAGAAGAAACCTAATGACATAGATTATGAATGGCAGACATGTATTCAATACGAAGAGCCAGAATATCAAATAGATGAACAATCCGATATAAATTCATTGTGGAAGTTTTATGACCATATAACAAAACGTTATCTACATGGGAATGGTAAAAATATATTTCAATGTGATAAAACTCAGAGTTTTCCAATACGTGTTGAAATTAAAACTCCTTTATATAGTCTGAAAGAACTTTGTATGTATACTGTTGCAACTAGAATTTTAGTCAATAATTGTGAAGATGCAATTGATGACATAGAAATTCCAGAAGAATTGAAAAAAGAACTAAAGTACTATGTAAAACATTTAGAACTAATGTATGAGCAAGATGGGGATTGTTGTATTTATGATTGGACAATACATCATGAGGATAATTACAATGAAAAATTGAATAAATAAGTCTACAAAAGAAAAAATGGTCACCTAAATACCTAAATTAATATTTTTTTTTATAATGAGTATGAATTATTTAAGATTTTTCATTGTAAATATTCTATAATAATTATTGTTATGAAGATTATATTCTTTAATTTTATCCATTAAATGTATATTATAAAATTTACAATATTTTTACATAAAATTTATCAAAGAATTTAATTATTATTTGAACAATTACCTTGATTGAATTTGAATTATTTATATGACCAAGTCTTGTACAAAACTGGTGGCCCATTACAACCCATTCTTTTTGTATTAATGTTTGTAAACCCACAATTGATCGATAATGAGAGTCAATCAACAACTGTGTAAGACTAGAAATAATGCAACAAAGATCGCGTCCTTCACATTCTTGAAAATAAATAATTACAATATCAATAATTAAATAAAAATTATAATTTGTTATATATTGTTCAAAATTATAGACAATATCAAAAGAACATTTAATAGAACCAAAATTGTCATCTTTTAATATTATTTTAAATATTCAACAGCATAGCTTTCAAAAATCAATGTCAACAATTACTAATTTATTAGTTTTTTATTTAGATTTAGTATATAGGCTTATAGTTGTTATCTACACTTATGTAGAGGAGGCATTTAATATGATTAATCATATTGTACTTATATATGAGTTAAGCTTATTTAGTGCTAATAATACATTTTAACCCTGGATTAAATCATACTTAACTGAAAGAAAATTATAGGTAAATATAAACTTTTTCTAGTACAATAATTCTGACTTCTGGTGTTTCTCAGGGAAGACATTTATAGCCATTACTTTTTAATATATCTATGATTTGCATAATGTATGATTAAATTGCAGAAGTTAATTTTTTGCTGATGATCTAAAATTTTATCAAAGTATTGCTAAGTAAATAACTGCATAAAATTATAGATAGACTTAGATTTCGTTTTAGATATAAAAAAAACTATATTTATGCAAATAAAGAAAATTGTATTTAGATCCCAGACAGTGTAATTTTATGGGATAGATTGTAAAAGTATTTTTACAATCATTTAAAACTCTAACCTCTCATTACATTGTCAAAATATACAATAGGTTAAATAAATTTAAAAATTCCAAGCAAAATAATAAAAATCTCTTATATTTCTTTAATTTCCCTGACCATTTTAAAATCCTTTGACTTTTCAAAGTTCTCTAGTCTTGTTACAAGCAAAACAAAACTCAATTTTTCCAAATAAAAATTAAAAGAATTTTAAAGCAATTCAAAGAAAAGTTTTCATAAATAATTTGGGTGCAAGGCCTGCAAAGAGGCATTCATTTCAACCTACTCTCATAAAATAAGTATTTTTTTTTTTAAATTTTTAAAATGGATTTTTTAATAAGATTGAGGTATGAAAATTCCATAAAAATTGGAGAAAATTATTTATATTTATCTATTATAAAATACTCTACTAATAATTGTTATATTTTTTTCTAATTGAACTAGATCTATAGCAACTAAGTTATAAACCTATATAAAGATATGAGTTTTACATATTAATAAATTTGTAATTATTTTTTAAAGGTTTATTCTTATATATGTAAATTTTTTAGTAACAAACTAGCTTATTTTATAATTCACTGAAATTTAGCATACCTTGAACAACAACAGACGTTTTACTATTTAGTGTGCTAGCTATTTCCCAAGCCAAAGTAAGACAATTTGAAACATATTGAAGCCATTTACAGCTCTCTAAATGAGAATAAAAATGATTGTCTTGAACCCAGAATTGTCGGTTACTTTCTAATTCAATAATAAAAATATTCATTATATAATTGTTTAATAATTTTTAAAAATATTATATTTACAAACCAGGAGCACAGAGTTCACGTAATTTATTAAAACTTTGATCAATATCTTTTGGAGAAGGTAAATCTTTTGTTAAGTCTATTACAATAGGTCTCATATGATTAGGATGTGATTTTCTAACCATTTCTAACATAGCATTTTCTTGTGTTCTGTTTGATGGATCTACAACGTCAGCCATTCTACATAATGCAGCTCCATTCATTGAACTCCAACACCATGTAGGTGGTCTCCCATCACGAAAATAACGTACAGCTTTACGTAATTGATTATCTAGAATGGTTGAACCAACAACAAAAAATTGTGGCAAACTGAAATTTTTTTATTTAAATTTAATTCATGTTTTAAAATAAATAATTAATAAAAAATGTATGGATAAATATTTTACTTTTGTGATAGTTGAAAGGTGTTATTAGAAGCATTAATTGTCCAACCAACACATTTTGTACGTAATAGTTCTTTTTCCCAGTCACTTCTATTTCTAAATGAAGGTGTTGTATATTTACTTTGTATACATGGTTCTCTAAAAATATTTATGATTTATAACAAATCCAACAAAATTACATATTTGATTACACAGGTTGAGCATTAAAACTATAAGTAATTTATAGTAGATTAATATAACATACCCCTAATGCATATCAATATTTAACATATGCCTTCATATAAAAATGTACACATTTCACATCACGACATGTGAAATATTTGACATTTTAACAAGACTATGTAAGGCTCTATGTAAATTACACATGCTCAAAATTACTCTATGGACACATCCATGTAATTAATTTACCAACGAAAAAATTGTTTTTGTGCAATCGTTGTATAAACATTCATAATTAAATTTATTGTAAGTTATATAAGCATAAAATATAGTATATAATAGGTAATTTAAACAGATATTCAGTTATTATAATATATATGAGTTGTCCATTTGAAAAAAAAAATTGAAGATACCCTTATAAGAATTAAAGAACGAACATAAAAAATACTTTATGATTGATAAATTGAGAAAAGTATATAATTAGAAAAAAAGTATAAGTGTATATTTATACCAGAGTATGATTTTGTTGAACTGGGCTATATAAGTTTCCTAGTCCTCTTTAGCACAAGCAATAGTTTTTAGAGAAAACATTAAACACGTAACATTTTTGGTCAATATTAAAAGGATCATTATGTATGTGTAAATTATCTTGATATTTTTTTTTATTAACATTCTTCTAAAAGTATCATTTCAATAAAAGCTCAAGCTTCTTCTCTATTTATATGTCTCTATGTTATTATTAACAACATTTTGTATTCATATTAAGTATTTAAATTTAATGATAAAATAACTATCAAAATTAATTAGTTTTAAAACTAAATAAAAAATTGTATTTATTTATATATCTTTGTTTACTGGGTAAACCCACCAAAAAAAAAAACATTTATGTGAAAAATTATACTAATTACTAGAGATGAGAATTTTCAAATATTTTAAACTATCGATTAACTATTTGAATTGTTTTTATATACCGAATAGTTTATTTTTAGGATTAATTGTTTTTAAAACTATTCGAATATATTGTGTAACTATCAAATATTTTTTTAATGACAATCGAATAGTTTGATAGTTACCATTCGATAATTCCCATCACTACTAATAATTATACTAAAAAAATACTATCACCTAGAACAAGTTTAGGGGATAGTTTTTTTTTAATAAATATTAATACCTGTAGTCATAAGCAAATAATAGCTGATGTCTTCTGGGAAATGCATGGTGTAACAATGCATTTGCTAATGTTTTTCCATGGCCAAGAGGTGAAAATTTAAAGCTATATGATAATGTTCTCATGTTCTAAAATAAAAAAATTTTATTGGTTTAAAATTTTTGAGTGACATTTAAGTGTATAAATATATAAAATACCTTGCACAGTATATGTAACCCTTTTACTTTATCATTAAAACGATGTCCAGGCATCAGTCTTTTTCTTTTATCACCTGTCAACATGTAAATAATATCTATGTTGGATAAACAAACATCATAGTGCCCCAATAATACATTTTCTTGATACTTTATGTCCTAATGTAATGAAGTAAATAATTTTAATGTTAAAAAAATAGTTATTCAAAGAATCAATAATAATACTTACCTCTAGTTGTTTTTCTTGTGATGTCACAAACGATAGCCTAAAGTTAGTGACAAATAAAACACCCGATTGTCCACTTTTATTTTCATTTACTGGTGTAAATAATAATACATTTTGTGCTTCAGCAATTATCATTTCACCTTAAAAGTAAAAAATTAAAAAACCCTAACCAGGTATGTAAAAACAAGTGCAGCTTAATAAATAAAAACATTGTAGGAATAATTTAAGACAGGATATAGAGCATTACCAGACAATACTCAAGAATCTGAGTTTATTGGAATTTTTAATTAGGTTTTGGCTTTCCAATATAACCCTGTCTTGTCATAACTGTACATAATAGGGTTCAAATTATCAAGGTTTCATAGTATACATTTTTTTTACTGTACTTTACTGTACTTTTAACATTATTAAAAACAGAAGCTACCACAATGTAAAATGTTATTGAAATGTGTAATAATAAAAAAAACAAAGTTTTTTTATTTAACTGTTCACTCATGATAAAATATAGATATTACTAACAATGCTATTTAACCGTTGTTTTAATATTAATCATTCTTTATTCAAACATTTTGTATATCTAAAATATTACCTGGATGGAGTTTTGGGGAAAGTTCATATTCTATAAATGATGTTTCACAACTAGAACTCTAAAAAAAAAAAAAAAAAAAATAGTATATACAAATAGAAAAATGGATAAAATGAATAAATAAAATGGATTACAATTTATAATTTTCAATCACCATGAAAAATTTATCTATTTAAGAATTTTTTTACCTATAATAAACAAAAAAATTAATTTACCTTTTCATCGTCATCTAAACCAATATAGCTTATAAAGCTATTTGTTAGTCTTTTTTCATTCATTCTTAAGGTCACCTCAAACATCACAGTATTAATTAGACATATTTTAATAAAAGTTATTGAAAAATAAAAACACTATAAATAAAAAAATTCTTCAATTTATAGAACATTTTAAGAGTAATTCGATAACAATATTAAAACTAAGAAATAATTGCACACTAGGTTAATGTTACATCTCAATAAAATATGCTATAATTCAACTCAATACGAGCTTTTATCAACAACCGTAAGAATAATTAGCATTTCAATAAAATTTTTTGTCATAAGACGATGTGTAATAATTTCATTTCATAATTGAATAACTTTAAGTTCAAGATATCATAGTTTCATATTATCTATCCTGTTATCACAATTTATTGAATTGAAATGAGAGTATTTTTGAAGGGAAAACACTTTTGCCATAAACTGATAATGTTCCGACATTTACATACTTCAACATTTGATAAAGTAGTAATTGTTCCGAACATCTAGTATTCCGACCATCTGATACCATAGGTTACTATAACCACGATTTTACTCCATTTAATAAAAAATAAAACGTGATAAAACTTGGACATTATCGATAGTCAACAATTTTTTTTTATTTTACACAAATTTTTATTGAATATTGACTATCTATGTTGTAAGATATAATAAGAAAATAGCTAAATCGTAAAGCTTTTTTTTGGCTTTGTGTTTATGTGTTGCTTTTGTTTTAAGATGATTCTCGTTTGAGTCACTGAGCTTTGGTGAAATCTAATCAAGATTGATTAATCTCGATTAGGGGACAGTATCGATCTGGAACCTTGGAAGTTGTGATTTAATGCGGGCCCCCTGAGCCCGCATGTATCAACAATAATTTACAATTCATTACGTATAATTAGTATAGTAATTTTTATTACATTTTGTCATCATTAAATTATCAAATCGATTTTCAAATAAATACAAACTTAAGTAATTTATAAAATGAAATCTGGTATTGTCACGAATTAGTTCATTTAAAAATTGTAGTCCTAAAATGTATATACACAAAAGCAATTACATAGGGAAACTAAGCGGCCTCAAGTTTGAAGTCTACTTTAGATAATTTTATTAATCGATATCGCAAAGTATCGATTACGGAGTAATTATCGCCGTAGTAAAATCGAAATTTCTATAACCAGGTATTTGCAGTAATTGTCTGAGTAGATGTATTCGTCGAATTTTTTTACAGTATCGGAACATTATCAGTTCGTGGCTATGTCCACAACCCATTTTTAAAGCACCATGTGTCATGTTTAAAATTTAAAACCGTAGTAATAATCTAAAAATATAGTTTAAAAAAACTAAAAAAACACGCTTTAAAAGCGTGTTTTATGTTATGATAGTAGTTACTATCAATATCATGGTTGTAACGGGAAATCAGGGTTCGATTCCGAGGAGGGAGTCTGAAAAACGTCTACCACATACAAGGAAAGCAGCAGGCGCTTAAATTACCCACTCCCGGAACATGGAGGTAGTGACGAAAAATGACGATACTGGATTCATCCTTTGTAATCGGAATGAATGAATTCTATATCTCTAAATAAGAATAAAGTGTGTTAATATATATTTTTAATAGTAATTAGAATATATATATACATGTAGAGCGACTTAAGTACGTAAACGTATCATGGACTAGGTATAGCCGTTTTGTGGGCGGGCGGGTCGGACTAACGTTATACCTGAGGTATAAACGGCGGTAGGAATATATACGTAAGCTGTATGCACACGGATGATAATGGTCAGTCAAAATAAAAATTTGTTTATATATATAATATTGATGACACGCACGCGTGTACGGGTACGATAATCAAAAATAAATTTATACAGGAATAGTATTGCCGGCGTTTAATGAGCTAGGCGTGGGGTGGGGTGAATGCGTTATGACAGTCTAGTCTAGACGACGGAGTATGCGATAACGCGTGGCGTTTGGAAAGTTACATACATACATACATACTGGTGAAACTAATATAAGCGTGTTAAAAAGAAAAGAAAACCATTAGCTTTTGTATTTCATTTTCAGGCTTCAGTTGCAGTGAAATACAATATTGGAATAAATAATTTCTTGTAATAATATTGTTAACGAGAGTCGAGATAACGAAAACAGTGACAATATTTTTCAATGTTGATTAGATATACGTTTATTTCCATTAAGAAATTATTAATATACTGTTGAAAAGTAAACAAGAGTAAAAATATATTTTTTTAAATTTTTATTATACGGTAATCTAGGTATAATCAAATTTTTATTAATTATGATTATATACATTAATTTTTATATTATTTTGTAGATCATTTGATTTAGATAAAATGTCGAATGATTCTGTAACATTTCATGTACGTTGTGAAAAATTGCAACATGTTATGAAAATAAATACTCCAGAAAATATTTTTGACTTCATAGAAATAATGGTAATAAGTATTAGTATATATATATATAAAATTTCTTCTCACAATGATAATATATTACGAGCAAATACAATTGCTATAATTAATGTAATTAATAATATTGCAATTTAATAGAACAGAGACCTAAATTTTATTTTTGTTTATTTTACTAGAAATTGAAACTAAATGTTGAAGAAAATGATGATATAGTTATTTTATGTCCAACAACTGAAGGAAAGATGGTAATTTATAGAATAAATTATAGAGGGCACTTTTAATTAATTCAAGCATTTTTTAGTTATTTATATATTTACTACACAACTAAAACTCTTTTCAACAGTATGGAATAATGGAAAAATAAATTTGAGTTGTATTTTGAATACGATTTTAAAAAACATTCAAATAATTCTTGTCACTGGAATAATTTTATATTTGATAAAGCAATATAAATTATAAAGTTTAAAAGGGTTAAAATTCTCTTACCATTAATATTAATTGTTGATTATTTTTTGCTTATATTATTATGATCATTAATTTTATAGAAATCCGTCAAGTGGTTTTATACAAATGATTTTATGGGTACATTTTAATTTTATTTATACTAAAATTCAATAAATTAATATTTGAACAATTTTAATTCAAATTGTTTACTATTCTACTTATAAATTAATAGTATAAAGACGCCAGACGCTTCTCTCCACGTCAACCACCCACACTTAATTCTGTGTCTTACATCCTCGTCAATACCACCACTATTTTGCACAACTGACCCTAATTACTTAAAACTCTCCACCTCTTCAATCATGTCCTCGCCTATTGTCACTGACCTCCTCATTTCACCTACCTCATGTTCTCCTTTGTCAAACTCGTACTCTATATACTCTGTCTTACTTCTACTTATTCTTAAACCCTTTTCTTCAAGAGCTGATCTCCACACCTCTAGCCTTTGATTAATTGCCTCCCTATTTTCTCCTATTAACACTATATCGTCAGCAAACAACATGCACCACGGCACTCTCCTTGTATTTCTCTAGTAATTTCATCCATCACTATAGATAATAAGTAAGGGCTTAAAGCAGAACCCTGATGCACTTCTACTCTTACCCGAATACCTTCTGTTACTCCTCCCACACTTTTTACCCTGGTACAAGTGCCATCATATATATCCTCTATTATATTAATATACCTTTTTGGGACTCCTTTTCTCATTAATGCCCATTTTAGAACCTCTCTCGGTACTCTATCATACGCTTTCTCCAAATCTATAAATACCATACAAAAAATCTTTGTACTAGGGTAAAAAGTTCGAGAGGAGTAACAGAAGGTTTTCGGGTAAGAGTAGGAGTGAATCAGGGTTCTGCTTTAAGCCCTTTAATTATTAAAAATATAAAAAATTTTATTTTTTTTAGATGGAGTTAAAGACCAATGCAGATATAGAATTTTTAAAAGTAAGAGTTGATTTTATTGTTAGAAAAACATTTAAAAAATGTAAAGAAATTAATGCATTAAAAAGAGTAAAACAATAGAAACTATTACGTAAGTTTCAATGGTATACTTTTCTAACTTCCCTGAAGCAATGCCTCACGGAAGTTTCAGGGAGGCCAACATAATGATGACCGTAAAGAAAAAACAGACTTTTCTGATTCCTTTTAGTTATAAAAGTGGACAAGAACTGCCTATGTATTGAGACCCGTAGGACCATTGTGTGTAATTCTCTGACTCATAAAAATCTTATTTTATAGTTAAAATGTGGCTGTGCCTCTTTTATATGTTTTAATCTATCTAGTGATTATTTGATCTTTTCTGAGCTTTGAGCTAAATGTTATCATATTCTAAATTAGATTACCAGGCATATATAAGTCATACTAAAAAAATGCTCTCTCTTAATTTGCAAACTTCTAGAAATATGATAAAGATCTAAATCAATGTACATCTATCATTTCTTCTGTTAAGTATAATAATGTAACTGCTGATTTTCCATCTGACTGCTCAACTTTTTTCTAGCTACTTTTCCTCTGTTTATAACTCACTCTTTCTCCTCCATTTTTTCCTGAAATGTGTAAATTTTATTTTTATAACCTTCAAATTCTTTTTCTCTTGAAAATGTCAAATTTGCTATTAGTTCCCTAAAAATAATTTTTCTAATGGTCCTGATAACATTTCAATGTGTCATACTATTACTGTCTATCAATTGTATATCCCCTTTTTCTACTCTTTAGATATTCCCTTATTAAGTTATTGTTGCTGAATTGTAGAAGGTTTAATCTGTTATACCTGTTTTAAAATTTGGTAGTCTTTCAATTGTCTCATATTATTAGCCTGTTTCCATTGTTTCTCATATAGTTAAATTATTTGAATCTTTAATTTATTTTAATATCAAAAAAAGTCTCAATCATATAATTATTCAGATCAGCATAACTTTTGTCCTGGTAAGTCTACCATAACTAGTAGTCTCTCATTCACATGAGCATGTGTTGATCATAGCCTTTCTTATTTCTGACCTTAAACTATTTGGTCTAAATAACCACTTACTTTTCTGGCTTTAGTCTTACCATTGATCTAGGAAACAAAATGTTACTGTCAAAGCTGCATTTTCCATAATTATACAAATTTCCTCAAGTGTCCTACAAGATGGATATCTTAGTTTTAGTTATTAAAAGGGTAAGCATAGTCACTGCCCATGTACTTAAACTTTATAATTATAATTCATCATGAAATGTCTCACTACTATCATGGTTCATCATTAGATGCATCTTTACTAGCAATAAACTTTTATATTATTCAATGGTCTTTTATGAAGACTTGTTGTTTTCACCCTTATTCTTACAGGTTTTCCTTAATTGGATTCCTAATTTTCACTAGATTATCATTTCTTATAGTATATCCATTCCGTTCTCACAAACCCAACCAAGTCTTTCACTTGGTAAAGTGGTTTGAGGGGCCTTTTTTCTGTTGATAAACAGGTATACCCTTGCCTATCAGTCCCAAAAATTGGAAATGGCGGACTGTATAATTAATGATGCGTGTTTTCTTCCTAATTGATTACACTAAGCATTTAGAGACTTTTCTTGCTTATTAATTTAATTTAATTTTTTGTAGAAAAATAAACTATGCTATAATGCCATAAGCAAAGAAATTTATTGCAATGTTGAACTTGTAATTATTGTCATTAAAAATGAACAGCAAATTCAGGATGATCCAATTGTCCAAATGAAAGTAATATAAAAGTTTAAAATTAAAGCTTGTATTCAATAAATAAAATTAAATACCATTCACTAAGGTTTTGACAAATAAAGTTGACCAATTATCTATCCAAATTAACAAACTATCTGATTCTCTTTCTGAAAATTCATCAAACATCATGAAAATTTTAGGGTAAGAATATTTTTTTAAAAAGAATTTTCTTAAAATATCATTATAATATTAGTTTATATAAGAATCACCATAAAATTCAAATAAAATAATAAGTGGTCAATATAATAGACATGTATTCAACATGTATAAACATGGTAAAAAGACATCCAAAATAAAAATTATATTTTTTCATGAAACAATTTAATCCAGGAATATACTTCCTACTGGAGTGTCTTTTTATTACACCCTCTCTGGGTTCATGCCAACAATATACAAGTTTACTATAAAAGATAATACTTGTTTTAAAAATCTTTAACTTTAAGGCTGCTTCTATGGAGATACTTGGTATATGTACATGATGATGTACATCATCGTATCTTTTTTTTATTATTTACATTAAACTTTTGATAATGAATGACCTATTTTTTTAGGTACTTTTTATCAAAAAAAATATATTTCTTTCCATAAAAAATTCCTGGTTGGGTGCCACTGCTTAAAATGAGTAGGGAAACATGCTCTAGTTTAAGCTTGTACCCATAAAGTTTATGGGACTACATTACTACTCATTACTAAATTATATTAAGGAATAATAAATACATATCACAGCAGTCATGCAAAATGATCAATATTATCATCAAAAAAGTGTGAGATAAGATAAAAATTTGTTATGCTGCTAATTAGGAGTTGAGACTAAATGCCTGTCAACAGTATTTTAAGGGCCATAGGGGGAAATCTGGTTAGGCTATATCTACCTTAGGAATGAGGTTTCCTATTTAGTTTATATTTCCTTAGATGAATTACCAAGAGTCTCACTACAATATATATAACACTCTTGGTTAGCAATGATATAAATATTTATTCAGTAAAAAAATATTAAATAAACAATACAACCTGCTGAGCACCTAGAGATCATAATAATTCAACAGGAAGTGACATGCACATTTTTTTGGTGATAGCTAATTTAAGTTAAATATAATACAAAAGAGTAATGGTCGTGAAGATGGTAAAAAGAAGTCAACAAGTACATTATTAGTAACATTAGTATTATGGCACGGTGGCTGTGAATTCCAAAAGTGTTTATGTGTGCAGTCTGTTCTCCTCTAGTAATACTTGTATCACAGTATCAATGCTATAAGTCTAGTCGACGGTAAAATGATGTGAGATATGATCACATATATGTGATCGTATCAAATTCAATTTAATATTGTTCATCACTCTGTACAAAATAACAGCAATTTTCTATTTAAAATAGTAGCAAATATGTTTTCATTTTCATTTATACATTTTGTGATTTAAGATAGAAAATGGTATCCTTTGTTATTTTTTTAAAATTGCATCATCATCATTAAAGCTAACTTCAAAGACAACTAATTCCGTAGTATTCTATGTATAAATTTGTTAAACATTTATACGACATATAACGTTTACTGCATCTATTTTTTTTATATTACTCTTTTTAATATACGAATCTTAGAATATATTTAGCATTCAATCAATGAAAAACAAATTATATCAATAATAACTTAAAATATAGTCATTACATATGATTCAAATCATCAACTTATATATTTAACGTGACTAAAATGAGAGATTAAAATATTATTTTGTTATAGATCAATTGTATCTGAAAATTATCATATCAATAAAGATTTTCAAGACATATCTTCTGCTTCTATCAAACCTTTAGGTAATAAACCATGAACATAATTAGTGGGGGTGTTGCTGCATCTCTCAGCTCTAAATAAGCACCCGTATCCAAGTTAACTAAAATTTTGTGAAAATACCTTTCTCTTATTTTATAAAAGATTTTTTTCTTTGTGGTTGACAATAAACATAAATAATAAACAATGTAATATTTGTTAATATAATATTTATTGTTTTATTATTATAATAAAGATAAAGGGAATGATTTGTCTAATATACCCAGCAATAATGAAGAAACTAACACAGGATCACGTAAAAAAAAACCAGCAAAGAAAGATAAAAATAAGAACCCATCCAATATGCCAAATTCACCTGCTATTACAAGCCAAATTTCTATCACAAAGGTACAATTTAATAATAATATCAATTGATATATAACACACAAATAGACAGGGGGTGGAATAGATCTAACTGACAACTTTTTTAACTTATGACTAAATAATTATTTTTCTGTAATTTTATTTTTAATGATTTTTGCATCTATAGACTGTTAAAAACATATTTTTTTAATATTTAGTTTAATAATAATAAAAAATTAAATAGCAGTTTTTTAAAACTTTTCTTACAAAAAAATTGATAGGTCGATAACAACCTTAGAACAATTAGTTATTGACTTACAAACATTTTAATACATACAGTGGTTATGTAGTGTGGTGAGTACAACTCATAATAATATATATTTATAATACATTTTTCTCACATGCTACATAACCATTCTATGTATTAAAATGCTTGTAACTCAAAAAGTATTTGATTTAAAATTGTTATTGATACATTAATCATTTTTGTAAAGGACATTTTAAAAACTTAATTTTGAAATTAGAATAATTGTTTTTTTTTTTTTTATGGAAAACTGAGAAGGTATTGCTTTTATGATGTATGTTCATTTTTTTATGTCTGTCCATGACAACTCTTAGATCTCAAACGAATAGATGAATCAATTGTCACCATAATTTGAAAAATACATCTCAATTTCAAAAGAAAAAACTGCAAAATATTTATAACCAACTCTAAAATATTTTTTTTAATTTAAATTTTTTTGTAAAGAGGGGGATTAATAATAGTAATTATCTCCCTTCTAGGTGAATAAACTGCTTGAACTAATACATAAGTATAAATAATTACAATAAAATATTATAACAAAAAACAGTGATTTTCTNAACGTATAAATATTATTTAAAAAAAAAATCAACTAAAAATATTAACTGGATCAAAAGTTATTTAAGTTGTCAGTGAGTGGTGGGCCACCCTGTATTATGTAACATTAGCTTTAATTTAACATTTCTTTGAAGCTTGGAGTATTTCTGAGACATTTTCAAAAACTAAACTGAGAGTTTAATTTTCTTGCAAAAGTTGCTATTTTGAATCTTCTCCTGTAGGTAGGTGAAGTGTCAGATTTTTGACAAATTTATACCAAACAAAAAAGAAATAGTTATGATATTTATAAAAAGAATGTTATTCTTCATAATTCATAATTCTTTATAATTCATCAATTTTTCAAAAAGTTATGACAGTTTTAAGTTATAGAAGTTTAAAAATATTGAACAATTTCTGAATGAGGGAAATTATTCTACTTATACCTCCTCAGTGTCCCATCAAAGCTAGTATTCTTAATTTAATGGAATTTTATTAAGTAAGAATAAATCACTTTTAAATTTTAAAACCTTTATTTTATTTTTTTTTCTCTACATTTTTTTATTTAAATGAACTAATTAACAACTTGCGTCCATGCTAAATTTAAAAACTAGGAATTTAAATTAGTCTTAGCCCAATAGAGCTTATCTTGTAAAAATAGTTGAAAAAATCATTATCTTAATTCTAAATTTATATTTCATAAGTTAATTAAATATGTATGTTACCATTTAAAAAAATAAAGTTGACACACCTATATGTTTCAAGAGAAGATTTTAAAAAGTACTTTATAGTAGTTTATTTAGTGGTTTTTGATAAATCGATTACTCTCTATATATATATTAGGGTGGTCCTTAGTTATAGAAGAAAAAATTTTTTTTAGGAAATTCAGAGTAATGGGCTCAAAATTTCGTTAGGTTCACTGAAAAAATGAAACTGGTAAAATCTGAGTACAATAAGTCAACCCCATCACGTGCCTCAAAGGGGTTGAAGTTCTTCAAAAATGAGGTAGATTTTCTTTTTTTGAGTGTACGCTTATTATTTTTGAAAATTCGCCAAAAACACAAAGAACAATTTTTATAGAACTAAATGTGAACAAAAAATAAGGTATTATATTATTTTTTTGTAAAATTAATATTTTTCGTAAAAATAAGACAAATCAGTTTCACTTATTTTTTTTTTAAAAATGACATAGTTTTCAGTTATACTTTTCCAGTGTCTTAAATTTTAATTGTACGCAGAAATTGTACAGAAGTAATATTAATCACTGTGATATCATCTATAAAAAACGTTATTTGAGTTTTTTTTGAATTATGAATCCTTTCCAAATAAAAATTTAAAACAACTACGAAAACGTGTTTTTTTTTTAAATTTTTTTTGCATGTATGTTTTTTTGTTCATAAACGAACAAATTTTCTTAGTATATTAAATAAAAAAAAAAAAAAACAACAAACACAATAAAATAATAATTGTAATAGATGAGTGTTTAATATTTTGGAGAAAAGCGCGTATTCCTACACAGTATTCTTCAGACTGTGTTATTAAATTAAAAATATTTTATGAGAAATAGAGAAAGTTGGATAAAAATAAATCTAGAAAAACAGAAACACAAGAACAACATTACAATATTTTTTCTGAAGAATTAGACAACTTCTTTGACATTTCTCATATCGAAGCTCTGAATATGATCAGTATTGAAGAAGAGAAACAGTTTTTATTGTCACAACTTAAAAAAGGATGCCCAGGGGCATGTTTGGTATTGATATGAAGTTAACAGATATTGAAAAACGTAAAATTACTCGACAAGAAGAAGAAGATGATCGAAAAAAAAAAGAGAAGTTAGAAATCGCAAATTGTACAGGTAATTATTAAATATTACACAATAATTTCTGTACATTATAAGTAAGCAGTTTTTATATACCGAAGTATTTTATTATTTTGCCAAAACTCAATATTATAGCAGCTCTAGCTCGGAGGACGAAGATATTGATATGGATGAAAACGTTGAAGAAATGAGTCAATTACCTGGGCCTTCAAAAGAAGTAAATGCACTAGAAGATATATGTTGTTTTGTGGTTGAATGTTATATTAAAATGTGGTTTTCAGCTGCGAACATTATAACAGCTCCTATAAATGATTTAATGTTATTAAAAAAGTTATTAAACTACAGTAATAATAAACTAGGAGAAGTAGCTATAAAAAAATGTATAAACCATTTATGGTATTTAAATGATAAGTGTGCTGTGTTTTCTTTATTTGACGAACGACTTGACATTAATACTAAGCAGCGAATGACAAAAAAAATATTAAAAGTTTATGAACAGAGCACGAATGAAGAACCAGAAGAAAATGAAGATTCAAATAAAAAATTAATTTTAAAATATGAAGATTTATCAGATTTTCTAGAAAAAGATCTTCTTTTTTCGTTGCTCAGCAACAATTCATGGAAAGTATTCGAGTGATTTAAATTAAAATTCAAGTTTTTGTATGAAGATCCTACCACATGGGAAATAAATAATGAATACAATAACGCCAAAGAAATATTATCCTCCATAAAAATAGTAAACGACAGAATTCAACGACAAATTTACAAGGGATGAAAATCAAAAGCAATTTATATTACAAGTATGAAATTATATAATAATACTGCAAAATTTTAAATTTTAAATTACTATATTTGTATTATAACCTTTACTTTGGACTATTTTAGGTGGTTCAACAATATCGCCAGCTGTATCCCAGTTGTAGCCAAGAAATTTTGAATAAAAAATATTCAAATTGGAAAAACTAATATTGTGATAAACAAGTATTATTTTATTGTGTTTGTTGTTTTTTTCTTTTTTATTTAATATACTAAGAAAATTTGTTCGTTTATGAACAAAAAAACATACATGCAAAAAAAATTTAAAAAAAAAACACGTTTTCGTAGTTGTTTTAAATTTTTATTTGGAAAGGATTCATAATTCAAAAAAAACTCAAATAACGTTTTTTATAGATGATATCACAGTGATTAATATTACTTCTGTACAATTTCTGCGTACAATTAAAATTTAAGACACTGGAAAAGTATAACTGAAAACTATGTCATTTTTAAAAAAAAAATAAGTGAAACTGATTTGTCTTATTTTTACGAAAAATATTAATTTTACAAAAAAATAATATAATACCTTATTTTTTGTTCACATTTAGTTCTATAAAAATTGTTCTTTGTGTTTTTGGCGAAACTTCAAAAATAATAAGCGTACACTCAAAAAAAGAAAATCCACCTCATTTTTGAAGAACTTCAACCCCTTTGAGGCACGTGATGGGGTTGACTTATTGTACTCAGATTTTACCAGTTTCATTTTTTCAGTGAACCTAACGAAATTTTGAGCCCATTACTCTGAATTTCTGAAGTTGAAAAATAAGGACCACCCTAATATATATATATATATATATATATATTTGTATAAGTATAATCAATTAATCATTTATTATGTTTTAGGATTCCCTTTTAACTGAAAACTCCTTGCAAAATAAATCTTCAACTAATGAATTGGATAATCCTTTAAAAAAACTTACTGAACAAGGATTTACTAACACTATTCAAAATATTATCGTACTTAAAAGGTTCAATAATAATTATGAAGAGGCATTGAAATATTTAAGGTCTAATAAATCATAAAAATAACCATTACATCATTGAATATTATCAAAATAGTTTACTATGACAATACTTTTTTTATAATTAAACTTTTTTATTTTAAAATCAACAACAAATTTTTAAAATAATAAATTGATAAAAAATATTGTATAAAAAAATGTTTTTTACTTTTTTTTTTAAGTTCAAATGTTAGCATTATTTTAATTTTAATTAGTATTTATTTGAATATTATGAAATTTATATTTAACTTTAAAAAAAAATATTATTGATTGTTGTAATCAATAATACTAATATAATAATATTATAAAATATATAATATATAATATATAGCTCTTTTTTATATCTTATAGTGAAAATCGAAAATTTAAGTCTTCGAGTTGCAAAAAAATGTATGTTAAGACTTAATATTTTTCTTAATTTTAAGTTATAAGCAAAAGTAAAATTGAAAAAAATATTTTGTTTGAATATGGTGTTGCAACATCTTACCCTGATATATAATAGAAGTTATAAAATTATTGTTATGATGTATAAAAATAGCTTAAGGATCCATTGTAAAATATTTTAGCACATTAGAGGCTAATTAAACCGACAATTATAATTCTTTTATTTTTAAAATACTCTGATTTAAATTTACTCAATTTAAACTATTATAAAATCTTTGAATCTTGTAAAGGTAGTTATTTTCTCAAAAAATAGGTATGTTTGACCACAGAAAGACTTCAAACTATAAATTATTATAAAAATATAGGCTCTTTAACCTCAAATTTTCATAGTATTGTTAAAAAAATAGTGGTACGTGGCATGATAGACAATAGTATAGATTGAAGTTTGACAGTCATTGACTCGCCATCATAAAACACTTCGATGCTAATATGGACTTAGTAATGATTATGATTATTATGAATGTTTGAATGAAGAGGTTGCTCTTCCTCTTAATACGCCTATTAAATATTGTTATTCCAAGAATAAAAAATGATGTGCGAAAGAAAAAAGGTCAAAAATAAATTATATAAATCGCGTTACGCCAATCATAGCGACCCAATTGACAGAGACTGACTGTCCCTGTAAGATCTTCCATAGAATAGTTTTTGTACTTTTTCTTTAATATAATGCCCATAAAAGACAAAATAGTATACCAAGAGAAATTTGGTCTAAAAACACTTAATGTTAACATGCTGAAACAGACAAACCATTAATAGGAAAAAAAATTATAAGAACAAAATTGTTTGTAAATTATTTTCTATTATATTATTAAAGTAAAAATAGGGGTTCTCATTTAAGATAATTAATTTTACGATTTTTTTTTTTCCCTGACAGGATTATTTAGCTAGATATTATTTTAGAGATTTTTTTAAATCAAACAATAAATAAAATTAATTTACAAAAATTAAAAAATATAAATTATTTCTAAGAAAATGAGTGTCCTGCCCTTAATGAATTACTTTGTATAATAGTATAAATAGTATGTTTCTACCTAACAATATTATTTCTGTTGCTGTTATCAATAAATCTGCATTAACCACGTGTTTTGCTAACTGAAGAAATTGATAAAATAAGTTGATTAATTTAATATCTTTTAATGTATGGACATAATGAATTTATATTACACAATTCTTAATATTTACATTTATGGTGTCTATGAAAACTTAAATCGTTTCAAGATATATGTAAAATGAGTAAAGAAGAAAGTATTAAAGATGAAATAGTTACTCCAGTTTATGTGTCTTGTTCAATTAATAGTACACCACATTGTTTGGATTGGGGCCCAAATGGACTAGTAATTTTTGGTTCTAGTCATGCTGTCCATATGTACGATCCTTGTATTAATGTAAGATTTCAATAAATTGACATTTTTATTTATGGCAATCCTAGAATTGATTAAATCATAATTGATATCTCTCCATTTTTCCCTATATCTTATAACCTTTTTAAGTTGTGTGTTTGTTCCTATTCCAGTGTCTTCCATCACTTGCTTCATAAAAGGTATTTCTTATTGTTATCTAACAATAAGACATTAATCTTGTAATTTTTCCTTCTAAACTTCAATGTATTCCAAGTTGACTTTTTAATTTTTAATCTTTTAAAAACATCATTTCTTAGTTTCTCTGTCCATAGAATTTTTAACTGTTTGACTATTTTTAAATGTTTTTACTTTAGCTCTTTCAGCTTTCAGCATAATTTAAGTTTCTACTCAGCAAAGAGATATGCTCTATACAAAATATTTAATGAGAGCTCACTTTATATTCAGATTTATTGAGTTTGCACTAAAAAGGTTACTGTTTTTATAGAAGACCTATTTAGCTTGTGCTGTTCTACATATTGTGTCTGTATATCTTTTTATATTACTTGTGATTTTACTACTCATGTAAATGAAATTATTTGAATTGTCTCTAACATTTCATCTAAGACTATGTTTGTTTGTATCTGCGGTTTGCTACATAAAAACGCTTCAGTTTTTTGTTGGTTTATTTTCATGTAGTATTTTTTAAATGTAATTCATCTTTTTGAGCATTTTGTTTTCCTCTTTTTTAATACTACTTTAATGTTATCAGTGAACTACAGACATTCTACCTATCTTTATTCCTCAAAAAATTTTCTATCATTCTTAAACACTATTGTCTTTCTGGTGTCTCCATTTTTCTTAAAACCAATTGATTTTCTGTCAGATTTTGGCATTTTCTATTTTTATTTTTTAACCCAACTAATTTGCTTTTATGTTCACTGAAAATTTTTTTATTATTTTGTATGTTTTATCACTCAATACTTTAGATAAATAGTCATCAATAGAAGAATATATTTTATTCAACCATTCCTCTTTTGCCTTCTTTGTTTCTCTTAATCATACTCATATTTAATTTATATTTCATTTTATCTACTTAATCGGCCGCATTGTAGTAATTTCTATGTTCATCTATAACTCTGTCAGTCATTCATTGTTTCATTGAAAATTATCAAAATATAAAGTTGACTATTTGCCAGTCAAATTTTATTCATCAATTTTTTTTACTTATTGTTGTGAGGTTAAGAAAATATCAAAAATTTAAAGTTCATTTGTTTGTATAACTTAGTTTTTATTGGTTTTTTTTTATATATTTAACTATTTTTTAAAAATAAGATGTAATTAACGAATGTTTGGTAAATATAAGCTATCTTAAGTTTTTATTTTCCCAATTTGAATTACCTTCTTTGATTTTAAAGATCATTTGCTATTAAGCAAATGTGTGCTATTAATATATTTTATAGGACGATTGTGATGGAAAAATTATTTCTACATTCTTAAATCATACCAAACGAGTGAATAGTGTCAAATGGGTACAACATATGTGTAATGATCAAATAACTCAAGATTTTGTATCATGCTCTGCAGATAATACAGCTGTATTATGGGAAGGCGTCCAACCTTCAGGATTTTATAGACATAATGAAAAGCTTATTGGTAATTTTAGTATTTTGTTTTTATAAGTAACATTTTCCAAAAATGACCTCAGAATTATAATTAAATATAATACTGAAACATACAATTCTTTGAACTAATTAAATTTTATATTGACGTAATAGTAAAAAAACTAAATTGTTGTCCAAATTTTCAAAAAAGACATAACATTAATATATTTAATTTTTGTTTAAATTTTAAAAAAAATATGATATTTCATGTATTATGAATCACTTAGTTGATTGAAGATAAAAGTAATATTAATAATTTTTTCATTGGTTTCTTTTAGTTAGATGTTTTTATCAATTTATTAATCACAAATTATTTTTTTGTGCATTCCTTGTATCTTGTCAGGGTATCAAATTTAATTTTTCATATGGTAATTTTTTAATCATAATTCAAAAATAATTAACTAGCTTATTTATTAGAGAATAATTAAATTAAGAAAATTATTTGTTGATAACAGTTTTTAGAACAGTAATTTAGAATTATTAACAATTTAAAGTAATGATTGGAGATGAAGAATAGGTACTGCTATTTTTATAACTAAACTATTTCACAGCTGTACTTTTTTTCAAGCCTAGATATAAATATATCAATAACTTAAAAATACTAGTCTAGTTAATCATGTGTATTATCATTCATGACTTTAAAGATGACACTCTTATAAGGTTTAAAACATAAAAATTTTTATATGATTGATACATTGATTTAAAAAAAAACATGGGGCTAAAACAAACCAATAAAAAACAAAGGTAGCACAGTATGGAAGTAACATAGTCGGGACAAGTATAGATGATATCTGACAGTGATTAAGATTATCACTATCATAAGAAATGCTTTAATGCAAATCTGTAAATAGTGTTTAATTTGAAGAAATTGGTGGATTATTCCAAAAACAATTTCAACTCATACTTTCTTATTTATATTCTGATAAGTTTTATAATGTAAAAATGTAATATATGAATAATTATTTGATAAATTTAAATTTATCTACTATTATATATTTAATAAATTTGTTCAGTTGAAAAAGTTGAGTTTTGTAAAAAAAAGTTGTTCTTTTGAATTCCCTCCTGTAAGCAAGTAAAGGGTCAGATTTTCAAAAAAATTATATCAAATATAAGGGAAATACCTAAGGTTTCTATATCTTCTTCTTCTTTAACTACTTGGGGTCGGCCACCTTTATCCTAAATTTCCACTTGTCACTATCTCTCACATCAGCCGTCCATCTCATTTTTGGTCTTCCTCTGCCTCTTCTTCCTTCAACATTCATTTCTATAACTGTTCTTACAGCTTCCGATTCCTCTCTCCTCATAACATGACCAAACCATCTAAGTCTATTTTCTTTCATCTTATCCATGATTGACGCTACGCCTATACTCCCTCTTATATGCACGTTCCTTATCCTATCTTCCCTAGTCACTCCACTTATCCATCTAAGCATTCTCATCTCTGCTACACTCCTAGGATTTCTATATAAAAATAAAATTATTTTGTTACATTCATTTTTTAAAAAGTTATGACAGTTTTAAGAAAGAAAAAAAAACGTTATTTTTACTGATTTTAAAATTGTAATTTTTTGGAAATTTCCTCCATTTACAGGGAATGTGAATAATTGTTTGAATTTTTAAAGCCAATGTCTTTAAATAAATACTATTTGTGATATTTTTTCATATCATTGACAAAAATCAGTTTGGTGACAGCTAAGAAAAAGTGGTGACACACATAATAAAAAAAAATGCATCATAGTAAAATAGTTTCTATTTTTTTATAAATTGAGTAGTTCATGATTAAGCAAATCATCCTATATATATAACGGTTTTATTATATCAATTTACTTCTGTAATAATTTGGTAGAAATTTATTGAAAATTAGACAAATAGTAGCATAAATTCTAATAAATAAATTAAACTGTTACTGTGGCTACTAATATTAATTAGTCTAATTATTGTATTATGTTGTAACATAAATGACAAGTATTAATAAATTCTAAATATTTCTGGTTTAAAAACAGTGTATTGAAAATACTCAATTATTATTAAACAGTAATTGATTATTAAATAATTTTGAAGATTTTGTAGTGGTCTAATCCTTAATTAGATCATTTTACTGACTTTAATTTACTGGATTTTGAATAATATCTTCTAAAGTTACTACACTTACATCTGATACTATCCATTCTATTTGGCTATTAATTACTAATTGTTGATTGTTAAGCTCTTTATATCAAAACAAGAGCTGATGTAGAAATAGAAAGACATAAAAAGTCATATTTAGAATCAGAATTAACAAAATACATAGAAATGATCCCTCATACACCTGCAACTAACAGCTTTTATTTATTTTTTTTGCCAATATGTAATTATTTGTATAAAATGTACAATAAACTCATATTAAAACAATACATTTATATAGAAAAAATGTGCCTAAAATCTAAGGCTTGAATTTTACTTAAAAGACTTTCAAAGCTATATTCAATTAATATTAAACATTTTTGAAGAAAATTCTTAAGTTTAAATATTTTATAAATAGCTATAAGACATAGTATTTTGATTCATCCTAATCAATAGCAATTTTCTTTACTATCATTATTCTAAAAAATGAAAATGAAGTCAGACTGACCAGGTACCAGTTTAATTGTCACTGCCGTTGCATTGTAATTACTGTCTTGTATTGTTTGTTGTTTATTTTAATTTTACTGAATTACAATTGTCATAATACTCTTGTTTAAACAGTAGTTAAATATTATTTTTTACTCTTCTTTTCAATGAAAATCATTCAAATTTCCTTTCTTTAGGCTACTTTTTGTGTACTGATATGATATTCTTACTCAAAACTGAGTGTAAAATAAAATAAAATTCTAAAATTTATTAAAACTGGCAAATAAAAACTTAAAAATTGAATAGCTAAACTTTCTTATAAAATTCTCTAAAAATAAATGTTTTTCATTCTTTTAGTTAAATTTTTATAGTAATAAAATTATTTATTTATTTTTCTTTTTAAAACAAATAAGATGTTTTTATCTATTGACTACAATTTGATAGGACATACTGTCATTTAAAACATAACTGATTTAAACTGTACATTTTTAGGACATACTGATGTTGTTACATCTAGTGATGCATTAAGGCTTTCAAATAATACATTTTATATTGCCACTGCATCTGGTGATTGTACTGTAAGAGCTTGGATAAAAATTAAAAACTCAAGTAAGTAAAAATTTAATCAACTCGATATCATTAATATTTAAGAAAAAATAATACATTTATTTGTTAAATACTAAAATACTTTTTTGCTTACTTTAGACAGCTCTCAATGTTTTCAAACTATTGAATTTGATAACATTTTATGTTTATCATTAAAAATAACATCTCTACCTCTGACAAATTCTTTATTACTGGCTTGTGGTTTATCAAACAGTAAAATTCAGTTATACCTAAATGACTTTAGTAAAGAGACTTCATTTTTTATCCCAAATCATGTTTTAGAAGGTCATGAAGATTGGGTTCGCACTTTGGATTTTATTTTTGAAGGTATGATAAATGTACATTTGTAAGATAATTTTGTATATTCTACTTATTTTTTACTAATTTTTACTAATTTTTACTTGCTATAAATATAAAGAAAAAATGCTTCAAATGTCTATGATTAATGCATAGTTGTTATAATATAATGATTGAGTTATTAAGCTAAATACCAAACATGTCTATTATTAAATGACTATATTAAAATATGTCTCTCCAGTAGCCATATTTTTTTGAAAATCTGACTTTTTGTCTAAACCTATTGAAGGGGGTTGATAATAACATAATTTTCATTAAAAGTTAACTTTTTTAATAAATCGTTGGAAATACTCCAGAAATTTTATATAATTTAATTATATATTAAATTAAGACTTATGTAGTATACTACAAATTTGTAGTATAATCCCATTAGTGTGCCACTTTGAAGTTTTGAGAATCACCAAAATTTTAAACTATTTATAGGACTTTAGAAAAAATTGTCAAAAAGACACTTTAAAAAACTCAAAATCAAAGTTTTGAACTTGAATTTTGAAAAAAAGACTTCATTACAAAGTAAATTGTATTGCACATATAAAGAAAGAAGATAAAAATTGAGTAAAATGACATTACTTCTATCTCTCTAACTCGGCTAAAAGAACAGCTTTAATGTTTTCAAAATATGGTGGTTATGAAAAATTTTGCATAGCTTCAAGTTCTAAACCACTTGAGATATTTGAAAAAATATAAACTTTTATTTATACACATCTTATGAGGATCTTATAACTTTCATAACTTCATCTTATAACTTTCATACCTAATTTCATCGAATTCTTAGGTGGTTAGTTTTATATTCATGTTGATTTGATGTGGTGGAATTCCTAGATTAAAGATTTTAAAAAAATGTATACTTATTTTCTATGTTCTAGTGATCTTAAGTAATAGAAAGATGCTAATTTTTTCTAAAAATAACTTCTATATTGTTGTTATTGTGTACCACATTTAATTGTTTGCTAATGTGATTGCTTATACTCTAGGCCAAACAGATATAGACATATTTAAATGATACTTTTCCCCAATATCAGTTTTAAAATTAATACTCCACAAAAAAAAAAACAGTTTTAATGTTCACTACATAGACATATAAAGAAGGGGGCTTTAGTGGCTCCTCTTCCAAAAAAACGGCATTGTTTACATTGATATTAGATATTTATACTGGTTCCCTTTATGTTAGTTAGTGGTCTCGATCACTTACATTATGTATGTATGACAGATTTTTTTAAATTAAAATAACAATAACTTAGATTCACCTATTTTTAAAAATAATATGGGAAATAATTGGTCATTTAAATGTTTGATACTTGTATTTGATTTTTTGTAAACACTTTTTTACTTTCCAGAATTCTGTTATAATATTAGGGATATTTTCTATGTGTCTTATCATTTCACTTATTGAACATTTTGTGTAATACTTTGATCATTTTTATTGAAGATGTTGGACTATTATTTCTTGCTAGTGGTTCACAAGATTCAATGATAAGATTATGGAAGTTTTCAATTGAAGAAAATATCCAACATAGTTCTTATGAATATTCAAAAGAAACTTTACAGTTGGAACGAAAAAAAATGATTATAGAAAAGAATGATGGTTCTAATTTAACATACATTATTCAAACAGAAACTGTTATATCTGGACATGATAGTTGGATTTATGGTGTGAATTGGAAATCAAAAAATGTATCTGGTAATTTTTTTTTCTGCTCAATTATATCTAGCAATTGACCTATATAAATTTTAACAATTAAATAATGATATTTCAATTACTTTACAAGTAAACATTACAAATGTAGAATAGAAATTCAGGATAAGACATTTACTATTCAATAGTACTGTCAATGAAATAAATATATATAAAATTTTAGATATGAACAATCAAAGTTGAGGACTTATGAGTATCAAATTTTATGCTGTTTCTCATTTGGCATCATTGATTTCATTTCTGATGTTTACTTAAAAGTTGTAATAAACTAATTAATTACAATTTTTTAAATTTTTAATGAAAATTAATTTATAAGAGTATAAAATAATTATTTAAATCCTCAACTATAGTTAGTTTTTAAATTATAAAAGTATACAGAATTTGCAGAGGAAAACTTATTACTGGTTATTGAACTAACTGTATTCTTAACCTGTAATATGTTAAAATATTCTCTTATTATAATAAATATTGTATAATATGTTATTGTTAGATATTATTAAAAAAAATTTGAAGAACTAAATTATCTTTAAATTATGTATTTCAATTTATAAATATTATTCTATAGTATAATTTACAATATTTTAGATTCAAAGCTAGAATTATTATCAGTATCTATGGACAAAACTTTGGCTGTATGGTCATTAGATGATGAGAGTGGCCTTTGGATTGATTTTGTTAGATTAGGTGAAGTTGGTGGAAATACTTTAGGGTTTTATGGAGCAAAATTTTCACCTGATGGACAATGTATATTAGCACAAGGGCATAATGGATCCTTTCATTTATGGAAAAAGGTAATAAAATTATTAAACATTTTAATGATAAACTTCATAGAAAAATATTTTTGAGTACCCAGACTGAAAGCTTAGAAATAGGAAATAAATAAATCTAGGAAAGGTAATTTAAGGGACTGTCTTCAAGAATATCCCCTTTCTCTAAAAAATAAATACTTTTATAAGTGAACTCAACAATAATAAAAAAAAAAAAAAAAAAAAAACCCCAGCAAAGTGGGGACATGGCGTAGTTGATTAAGTATAATAATATCTGACAGTGAATAAAATCATTATCATAAAAAACGCTTTGATGCAAATCTGTAGATAGTGTTTAATTTTAAGAAATTGGTGGATTATTCCATAAGCTATGTGATCCCCTATTTCCTTATTTATATACTAATGACAAGTTTTATGATTTATAAGTGTAATATATGAATAAATATATAAAGGGTAATGGTCCGATTTAAAAAAAAAAAGTATGTCGCATAAAAGAAGAATATAAATAGTACTTATCTTAAAAAAATTATAATGATCCATACATTTTTCAAAAAGTTAAAAATATAAAAAGGAATTGAAGTATATTACATTAGTTTTAATTTAAGNTTGATCCATGAAGTATATTACATTAGTTTTAATTTAAGATATATATAAAAAAATCTGAGTTTCGAGAATTTTCATACAAAAATAGCATTCGGTAGCCGTTTTCACCATGAAGACAAGTCCAGAGGTCAAATTTTTTTTTTTCAAATTAAAGTATATTACATTAGCTTTAATTTAAGATATATATAAAAGTGTCAGACCTTCCGGAACATTTTCAAAAGTTAAGTTGAAAAAGTTCTACATTCTATATGCATTTTTTATATTTTAAGCCCCCCCATATATAGGGAAATAGTCTGATTTAAAAAAAAAGTATATCCAATGAAAGATGTATATAAATACTACTTCTCATGAAAAAATTGTATTGATCCATACATTTTTTAAAAAGTTATAGCACTTTAAAGTAAAAAATGTAAATTATAAAATCGAAAATTTTCACACAAAAATAGCATTCGGTAGCCGTTTTCACCATGAAGACAAGTCCAGAGGTCAAATTTTTTTTTTTCAAATTAAAGTACATTACATTAGCTTTAATTTAAGATATATATAAAAGTGTCAGACCTTCCGAAACACTTTCAAAAGTTAAGTTGGAAAAGTTAATTTTTTGTGAAAAAGTTGTCACATTAAATCCCCCCAGTGAGCAGAATAAGTGTTAGATTTTCAAAAAAAATTATATCAAATAATAGGTAAAAACATCCAAGCAAAAAAAAAATATATTATATTGATTTGGTCATTTTTGATAAACTTATGGCAATTTTAATTAAGTAAAAAAAAATTGAAAAAATTAGCGTTTTTTAAATTTGTAAATTTTTTGGAGATGTCCCCCATTTACATGGAACGAGGGAAATTTTTTCAATTTTTGAGGGTAATGTCTTCGACTAGATACAATTTGTGATCTTTTGACGTATTATTCATCAAAATCGGTCCAGTGAGAACTGAGAAAAAGTGGTAACAGACACAAAAAAAACACATCATAGTAAAATTAATACCTTCTCAGCTTCGCATCGAAGCTAAAAAACATATTATTTTTATTGACCAACAAGATTAGATTTCTAAGCTAATGATTAAAAATGAGCTAAAACATTACTATATAGCCCATTTGTTTTCAATCCATTCTACTTATAAAAAAAAAATTTGGTTTTTTGCTAATTTTCAAGTTTAATATTACAACAATAGAGACATTTTCTTATTATTATACTGTTTGACTGATTTGTAATTAACAAATTCTGAGTCAAAAAGGGCAACCAAAATTTTATGAATGTATTAATGTGCTGTGGTCTAAAAAAGTTAATGTATAAAGTTATGAACATTCTTTTTTCAAATATTTTATCAGATTATTTTGAATTTAACTATTGGATTCTAATTTAATGTGCTATTCATTTTTCAAACTTGTCGTGTTATACTTAAGTATTTTATTTTATTTCACCAAAAATTTTAATGATTACTACTTTTAAAAATCTTTTCAACTTTTTTTAATTAGTTATTACGGAATTATGTTTATCTAATAAATATAGGAAATTTAAGCACTTCAACATTTGTGGGAACAAATTCTTTATTTAAAAGAATTTCTATACACAATGGTTTTGAAGATTAAAGAGTTTAAAAAAAACAACAATTTATATTTTAGCAGCTCTATTACAGGCCAGTTTTTACAATCGCTAATAATAATAACAGTTCTTTAAAGATCTTAAAAAATTTCATGAGGTTATATATTTTGTATGTCCTCTGTGATTTTCTCTCTAACATCGTTTATTTGAAAATAAATTTTATAATTGATTTGTTATTATATTATTGTTAAAGTTTTTTTAATATAATACAATAATAGACTAATAACACTTTCAAACTAGTCTAATTTTAATAAAATTTTGTGCATTTTTGACTTTACTACAATACTTTCAAATGTTAGTAAACTCAATGTGGTTGAGTCAGTAATGTGATAGTACCTAATGCGCACTGTTATGCATTTTATATTAAGTTACGAGCAACTTTGTTTACTGAGTGAGATATCAGCTCAATAATTACAGTTTTTAATCCTATCTATAGCAACGAACTTATAATTTTCCCCAAAATATATATAGTTAAGAAACATCTATTTTGTTTGGGTTACATTGGCTTTTTATGGACGTTAAAAGCATTAAAAAAATTACTGTTGAAAATTAAGTAAAAAGAGTAAAAAAATAATTTAATCCACTCTAAACTGAAACAATGAAATATTCAATAATTAAATTAGTTAAAACTAGCATAAATAATTTTAGCCCTATTGCATATGTGTTATAATTTACAAACAACAAATAAATTTAGAGCAATGAAAATAAATTATGGTCTCCTGCAGTTACTATTGGTGGCCATTTTGGTTCTGTTGAAGATTTAGCATGGGATCCAGAAGGAAAATATATTATATCTGTTAGCTGTGATCAAACTACACGAATTCATGGACAATGGTTGAAATCTAGTAAATCTGTAATTGATTCAGTAAGTTGTTTTAAATATTTCTGTAAACAATTATAATTTTTCTTTCATCAAAAAATATATAGAGATAATATAGAATATTAAAAATTTTTAAATTTATGTTTATTAATTAAATTTAGATGTTGATAAAACTCTAGAGGATATATGGATAAAGGTGACCATAAGAGCGTTTTACGGTGTCAAAAAGCACCATGTGCACAGTGTAGAAGGAAATAAAAAACCACTGCGCTTATCCCCTCCTTAGTAATATTAGTTCACCTTAGGATGTCTGGTTTCCAACACCTGAAAACGAGTAGAAATAAAAAAAATAAATTTAATTAAATTCATGAATCCATAATAGTTTTCTCTTTCCTTCTGAGGTATTGTTATAATTTAAAAAATGTATTCAAATATCATGTAGCTAGAGGAGCAAAGGCCAACTAAAAATATAATTATTTTCACAAAATATGGAAAAAGGCTACTTGGTATTATAATAATTATTATGATTATTTTTATTGTTGTATAATTTTATCTGAAAAATATAAATAGGGAGTATATTAAAGATGTATTATTCAATTACCTAACAGCCAGGTACATCATTGTATTTTGTGTTCAAAATTATGCCTTGTAAGGGTGTCAACTTTGTTTTTTTCAAATTGGAACATATATTTTGAATTTAATAAAATGTTTTAAGTTCTATTTTATTAGTTAAAGGTATTTGAATTTTTAATGTTTATTTAGATATTTATTAGGTATAAAATTTTATAGTTTCAAATTTTTTAATTAATATATGAGGGTTTATAAATACAGGTAGCTAATTGGTTTTTATGACATTGTTATCACAGATTCGGAGCGTTTATAATCAATTATGACTTTATCAACAAATATGCTTTAAGTATAATTGACAATCAGAAAATATATCTGTAGATAGTCATAATTGACAATAAATGCTCCGTAATTGTTTTAAAAACTGTATGTTTTAATAAATTAAATGACTTTAAGAATTGGCATGAACTGGCACGTCCTCAAGTGCATGGGTACAATATGTCTAGTGTTGCTATTTTATCCAGTTTAAGCTTTGTGTCTTCATCAGAAGAAAAAGTAATACGAGTATTTCAAGGATCATACAACTTTATTGAAAACATGAATAATTTAGCAAAAGTTCAATTTCCTTCTTGTGGTACGTTAAAATATAAAATAAGAATTTAGGTATAAGTCTAACTACAATTTTTGTAATTTATTGATATTAAAACATCTACAGAGGATATTAAATAAGATAATTTAAATATTCTAAATTAATATTTTGTTGATTAAAAGATTATAATAAAGTTTCTATCAAAGCTAGTGAAAAGTTTCAAAAATTAATTATTTTAAGGTATAACAAAGTTGTCTTTGGGAGCTTCAGTTCCATCTTTAGGTTTATCGAATAAAGCAGTTTCTGAAAATGAATGCCAAAATAAAGCTGACAAAAAAAAAAAGAACTACCCTGAACATTATTTTGTTCCTTTGGCACTAAAACGTAAGTATTTTATAATTAATATACTTAAATAATATTTATATTATAATAATAATTTTAACATTATGTTATTTAAGTATGTATTTTTAAATAATTATGTAATTAAGTTGTAATTGATTTCTTGTTATTAATTTCAGAACCTCCAACTGAAGAAGATTTAGTACAAAATACTTTATGGCCTGAAATTCAAAAATTATATGGTCATGGATATGAAGTTTATTGTTTAGCATCTTCGCCTAATGGAAAATGGATAGCATCAGCTGCAAAAGCAACATCAATAGAACATGCTGCAATTATAATATGGTTAATATTGATAATAAACGTATATTATGTTATAGGGAAAAATTGCTAGGTCATTATCATATTGATAATGACCTAGCAATTTTTCCCTATATTTTTACATCTATATTCAAGGGCAATCTAAAAATTGTTTACTAAAATAATCAAATATTTTTGAGAAAGAAGGTAGACACCCCCATACTATTTCTTGGTATTGCACTGGGACTATATTTTTTTCATACTAATTTAGAATTTAATATATTTAATTTTCAATGTTGTTACATATAAAGNAGAAAAATGTTATTTTATAGTTAGAAATTTTTTTTTAGAAAAATAGATCATTATTTACTTGATAGGAAATATCTAATTAGCTTATTACTTACTATTACTATGTTTTAGTTCCGATGCGAAGCTGAGAAGGTATGAATTTTACTATGTTGTGTTTTTTATTGTATCTGTTACCACTTTTTTTCAGCTCTCACCGGACCGATTTCTTTCAATGATACGTCAAAAGATCACAAATCGTATCTAGTCGAAGACATTACCCTTAAAAATTGAAAACATTTTCCTCGTTCCCTGTAAACCTCCAAAAAATAACAAATTTAAAAATCACTAATTTTCGAAATTTTTTATAATATAATTTTTTTTTTAATAGATGCTTAATGTTTTTACCTATCATTTGGTGTTTTTTTTTTATAAATCTGACCCTAAACCTGCCCACAGGAGGGGATTCAAAATGACAACTTTTTCACAAAAAATTTACTTTTTCAACTTAACTTTAGAAAGTGTTCCCGAAAGTCTGACACTTTTATATATATCTTAAATTAAAGCTAATGTAATATACTTTATTATGGAAAAAAAAAATTTCGGACTTTATTTGGTCTTCACGGTAAAAATGCTATAACTTATTGAAAAGTGTATGGAACACAATTTTTTTATGAGAAATAATATTTTTTAATAATCCCTTTTTCATTTGACATACTTTATATCTTAATCAGGATATTAATAAGGAACTAGCAGATCATGTAGCTTTTGGAATAATCCATCAATTTTTTAAAATTAAACACTATCTAAAGATTTGCATCGAAGCGTTTTTTTTTTTATAGTGATTTTAATTACTGTCAGATATTATACTTGATCCGACTATGCTACGTTACCACTGTGCCGCGATCCTCCTGTGCTGGGTTTTTTTTTTCATTATCACTTAGATTTTTAGCAAAAAATTGGCTATTATATGTGTTACCCAAGTAGAAAGATTAAATACCCTCCAAAAATTATTGATGAATATGTCAGTAAATAAACGTCCATACCCACTACATTTTATAATATAAGTAAAAGAATACAATGTACAAAAAATTGTACAATTATTATTAAATTGAAAATATTAGATTATTAAAAATGTATATTGTTTATTTGTTTTGTAAAGGTCTGTAGAAGATTTTCTGCTACTGCAGAAATTAGAATCTCATAATTTAACAATCACTCAATTGGCATTTTCACCTGATAGTACAAAACTTCTTTCAGTTTCACGAGATCGTACATGGTCCTTATTTGAATATAGCACTGACTTATGTATTTTTAATCTTGTTTTTAAGTCAAATAAACACAATGGAATACATACAAGAATAATATGGTGTTGTGCCTGGTCTCATGATTCATTTTATTTTTCTACTGGCTCTAGAGATGGTAAATTAGTTATTTGGAGTAAATTTGATGAATATGAACCAAATATGGATCTCAACCAACTGTACAGAGCTAAAACGGAGCCATTATTAATACCAGAAGAAAGCATCACTTCAATGGATTTTGCTCCAATGTACATATATAATAAATCATATCTTATAGCTCTTGGTTGTGACTCTGGGAGAATATTTTTGTTCAAATGGAGTTCAATTGAAGAAAAAACCATTATACCCTGGTATAAAATTTCTGAATACTATGGAGAGTATCCTTTATTTACAGATTATGTTAATAATACAGTTTTGTATATTTAAGTAAGGGTCAGATTAAAATTTTTGTTTGTTCAATGTTTTAATGGATTATAACATTACCATATTTTTACATTTAAAATTTATAAAAGATTTAAAATATAACTCATAATCATGAACCTGGAACATTATATCTACAACTAAAAAGTGGTTAGTCATCTAGTCAAGAACTGAGAATGTTGGTTATGATGTTTTATTAATAAATATTTTTCATATTTATCATTTATATATTATAATACCATCAGATTATAATCACAAGCATGCCCATGTTTATTATCATCTATATTTTTTTTTAATTGATTTATATGAAAAAAAAATGTGTTTATTTTTCATATTCTTCAACAAATAGTTAAACAAACATATTTATAATGAATCCATAGACAGAAAAATTTTCGAGGGGTAGAAATAATTTAAGTTCATTAAACAGAAGTGCTTACATTATTATTACTAAATAAAATATAGGGTCATATAATATTGGGAATCCACAATGTTTATCCAATAAATATTTTTCACAAATAATTAAATAATCAAAAAATAGTATACGACTAATAGAGTACAACTTAGACAAAGAAAAACACGAGGTAGTGACAATAAGCAAGGACGTGACAGGAGAGGTGAAAAGTTTTAAGTATTAAGGATCAATTGTGCAAAAGAGTGGTGGTATTGATGAGGATGTAAGACACAGGATTAAGTTAGCGTTGTTGAAGTGAAGAGAAGTATCTATTGAGTTATGTGATAAGAAAATTCCTATGAGTCTAAGAGGTAGGTTTTATAAGACTGTAGTAAGATCAGCTATGATGTATAATTCAATGTTAGGTGGTTGATGAGAGAATAGAGCACAGAATGAGTGTAGCAGAGATAAGAATGCTTATTTAGATGAGTGGAGTGACTAGAAAAGATAGGATATGGAATGAATGAACATATAAGAGGTTGTTATGTGTAGAGTCAATCATGAATAAGATGAGAGAAAATAAGCTTATACGGTTTGGTCATATTATGAGGATTGAGGAATTGAAAGCTGTAAGATTAGTTATGGAAATGAATGTTGTAGGAGGAAGATGTGAGAAAACCCAAAAAAGAGATGGAGTAATGTTATATGTGGAGTGATTGCGATATAAGAACAACATCTGATGTGGGAGAATGTGTCAATGGAAGTTAAGGATAAGGGTGGCCGACCCCAAATAGTTGGGATAAAGATGAGGAAAAAGAAGAATAAATGAATAATCAAAAAATAATAATTTCCTGGGTCAGTAAACATAGTAGTACGGTCTGAATTTTCCTCTGACAACAAAATACCATAAATTAAAAGAAATTCCAATACTAGTACTAAAAAAACTGAAATTGCAGGTGTAGAAAATAAAATGTCTGGGTTTTGAAAAGCAATGAAACAATAAACGTATCATTGAAAAATATTTACTGTATACAATATTTATGTATTTTTATTTATTTTCCTTAATTATTTATCAATTTAGATTTGGACATCATTTGACTGTTAAAAAAATTAAATTCCAGCCAACTTTGAGTAAAAAAAATTTTAAGTGTGATGAAAATATCTTACAAATAGCTAGTTGTGGTGCTGATATGATGGTTCGAATTTATAACATAAATATAAGCAATCTGACAAAATCTAAATGACTATATATATATATATATGTGTGTGTGTATATATATCATTTATTGTATTTTAGTTAATATAATATATTTAAAAAAAAAATTTATTTATTTTAGGATATAAATAATCTGAATTTTATGATCTAAATATTATTTGAAATTGTTAATTTCAAGATTGCTACTTTTATTCCTAAATTTTAATCGTATATACTTCTAATAACATCTATATCAATTTATATCTAATTACCCTGGGTCAAAATTCATTTCTGACTGAAATAATGTTTTATTATACTATAACGCTTCTATTCGTGCAATAAAATGCATTTTCGAAGAATTGTTAGTTAACACATTTATTTACTGACCTCATCACTTATCTGTATTATCTCGAAGACAGACCGTAATACTTTTTATGGTTTTTTTTTTAAGAAAAATGAATAAAAAAATTAACAAAATAGGCAAAAAACTTTAACTTTACATACATCAGTATCCTATACCTGATTTGTTTTATCTTCTTTTTCCTTGCCTTTATCCCAACTACCACTTGACATAATCTCTCACATCAGCTTTTGTCCTATAATGCAATCAATAACGTCACTTTTTCTTTTCTGGTCTTTCTCACTTTTTCTTCCTTTCTTCCTTTACATAACTGTTCTAACACCTTTCGATTCACAATATCTCTCCTTGTATTTCTCTAGTAATTTCATTCGTCACTATAGAGAATAAGTAAGGGTTTAAAGTAGAACCTTGGTACACTCCTACTCTTATCCGAAAACTTTCTCTTACTCCTCCTACGCTTTTTACCCTGGTACAAGTGTCATCATACATATCTTCTATTATAAGGGTCCACCACCAACCCTTCAGAGTTCAGTAGATTATAAATAGTCGGAAAAGGATGTGTCTAGCTATTTTGACAATACGGATTCGCCCGTTACTTTGCCTGGTATTGAATTCGTAATGGCTGTCTACCAGTCAAATGTGGGTTAGTCACTCGTTGAAATCGAGAAACGAAAGTGGTTGTAGTCGTTTGCTGACCAAAGCGAAATCTAACAGTGGCGGTTTACCTCCTGTGAGACTAGCGACTCTGTTGATGGGAGTATAAGCACTTACGCCTGCCTGAACCAAATCAGGTAGAGATTTGGATAGTATCTCAATCCCACCAGTGATTGTCGATGAGCCTACCTCGCTCTGAGATAAACTGGTAGATTGTTAAGGAAATGGCGAACCCCTAACTATCGCTGCACGATTCACGTCGGGTTCCTCCCTGATTGGGTGACGAGCTTGCTCATAAACTAAATCTGGGAGTGTAGTATTAATCATCCGCAATGGTACTAAATATCCTCTATTATATTAATCTACCTTTTCGAAACTCCTCCTTTTCTCATTAATGGCCACTTTAAAATCTCTATCATACGCTTTATCCAAATCTAATGAATACCATATACAGCTTTTTTTTATTTTTCTATTAGTTGCCTCGCACAAAATAATGGCTCCGTTGTTGACTTACCAGGCATAAATCCCAACTGATTTTTAGATTCCGATGTCTCATTTCTTATCTATTACATTTACCCAAATCTTCATACTATGACTATAGTTTCCACACTACTGCATTTTTCTTTTAATAAGATTTTATTAAAAAGATACTTCAGCCACCTTTTGCTAATACCTCCTACTATTCTATTTTTCATACTTCTACTGACACTTCATCTGGTTCTCTGCTTTATTCTTTTTCATTGATGTCACAGCCTCCCATACTTCTTTTTCAATAATTAAATCTACCAGTCCCTCGTTCCACGATTTACCTTCTAATGCCTCTCTGTTTTATCTATATAAATAAAATTCTCTATATAAACCTGACGCAGGAGGCCAGAAAATCATAATTATAATTATTTTTTAAATAAAAATCATTTTTTTAAAAAAATCTCCCTTGCTTATAAAATGTTCTTTAAAATTTTCTTTTGTATCTTCGCATAATTCTGCCTAGGAGTTTCCTAGTCTAATTCAGAATTTTTAGAAGGAATTGTGCAAAAAGTTTTTTGATGTCAAAATCAATTTTTTGCTTATTTTATTAATAAATTTTCTTTAAATAGATTATGATAGTCTACACCCAGAGAAAAACCTCGATCTATATAATAAATTCATTGTTCAATTTGATAAATATATCATTACTATTGAATCAATGATATATTTGTCAATATGATATTTTTTTTCTTGTCTTGAACAATAATTATTTATAAGAATAGTTATTTTGTTCGTATTAATAAAACATTATCATAAACCCTTGATCAAATTTCTCTTTCAATTTTGATTGAGGTTTTTCTTTGGGTGTATGGAGCTGATGTTCGTGCGCTTCTTCCTGGATTTTCTACTGATTCTACCCGTCCGAGGCGCATGTACATAATGCCTCTTTAAACCGGCCTCAAGGATAATAAATACAATACATTACTAAAATATTACTGTTTCTATAACTTTTGCAAATTTGACATTAATTAGAAATTTCAAATTACTATCAATTAACAAAGTTAATGAGTTTATTTAATTGTAATTTTATAATTATTAAGCATTCATTAGAAATTGTAGTTTATATTTACTCATATAGAACAAGTTATCACGAATAAAATTAGTGGTGAGTTTGATCTGTTGGACGTAAATTCCATAACAGTACAAATTATTGACGTTCAGTGATAGACGAGATATTTCATTATTATTTGTGCACATAAGTATCGAGAAGACGAGTAGCGTATCCAGGGCCCCACAAGGGGGAGGGGTCAATGAGTACAAGGGTCCCTAGGTGTTTTAGGGGAAAAAACAAAATATATACGTTTAATTAATTTAAATTAGAAAAATATAATAAGTCATGACGCTCCAATCACTGTATCTTTATATAATGTTAGTATATTAATAATTTTAATTTTTTCCTATAATACATAATATTGTTTAACAACCTAAATGTACATTATTTTTATTTAATGAGATCGACCACTTGGCGTCGGTAGGGCGTACAGCCCGAGAATTTCTTGGAATAATAAAAGGGGAAAAAATTCGGGACGATAAAAGCAAATAGTCTGCCGCCCGCACTACTAGTGCTATTTTTGGCATTAGAAGGTAATAATTCTTTTATCAACGACCGAAGTCAAAACAACTCGAAATCGTAGTTTTTACCACAAGCGTCCATCTACTGAGCTGTGGTGGTAATTGGGGTACTCTCTACGTACGATATTATTTAAGTTATAATATTTTGAATAAATACGAAAATGTCATTTTATAAGCATAAATCTGGATCCCAGAAACGAAAATTGAAATAAGAAGAAAAAGCAGTTTCAAACAGTCAGGTAATAAGTACATTTTTCAAACCAGTTCAAACAAATACATATTCTGCGAAAACTATACCACATAATAACAAAGTATTGACATCCCTGAACAATCTAGTAATACTTTTAAGGTAGAAATACATGATTTTGGAAATGCGAGTGCGCCTCTTCTTCGGGCAAAATCGAATTTAAAGATTTTACTGACCCTGGTTTGTGGCCTCAACAAATTATCTACGATATTCATCACAAAAATTATTGATGCAAATCTTTCTAATTTCGACAATTTATTAAAAATAAAAAGTACTATGCCTAAAGACTTAGCCAGTAAAAAATTTTCTGAATTCTTATTATTTAATATTTAATGAAAAGCTTACTGCGCCAATAAAAAACCGAAGCGTTTTAAGTAAAAAAAGCGGATTTCCTCCTAAAATAATACCATGGAAAAAGTTATATAATAGGCTTCCATTACATGAAAATAGTAAAACACATCGTACTTGTTACTGTATGTGGAAAAATGTACAGCAGTCTTTATTAGGTTTTGGAGTAGATAGCCAGTTACAAAAATAAATTCTTAGTAAAACAGAAAAATGGAAAGCTATCTTAAAAAGGCTTCTTGATATGACTTTATTCCTAGCTTCTAGAAGATTGCCTTTTCAAGGCAGTAGCACTAAAATTGGTGACGTAAATAATTGAAACTTTCTTGGTATATTAGAAATTCTTGGACGTTATGATGAAATAACAAGAGGGCATTTAGCGTATGTTGAAGAATATCAAAATGAAGACGAGAGTATGAGAGGAAAGTCCCATTATTTATCTTGGATGAGTCAAAATGAATTTATTTCCCTTTGTGGTGATAAAGTTTTAAAATATATTTTTGAGGAACGAACTGAATCAATATATTATTCAATTATCGCTCATGCTACTCCTGATGTTTCACACCAAGAACAGAATGTTTTAATTTTAAGGCATTGTGCGTAATAAAGAGACAAAAATATTTGAAATTCAAGAAAGGTTTGTTGAGTTTTTAAACTTTAATGAAAAAACAGATAAAAATATTGCTACAATGTTATTGACAGCATTAGACCGTCATAAAATTCCATTACTAGATTGTCGATCCCTAACATATGATAATGATTCTAATATGAGTGGGAAAATTAAGGGTGTGCAAGCTCGAATTTTAGAAAAAAATAACATTGCTTTATATTCACCATGCAGCGCTCATTCCCTTAATTTCGTCGGTGTTAATGTAGTAAAAATACATGCAAGAGTTAAAACTTTTTTTGGATGTGTACAAAACTTATATGTAAGTTTTAGTAGCAGTCCAGCAAAATGGAATATTTTAAGTGAAGAGATTAGTGTATCATTAGAATCTCAGTCTGAATAACGATGGAGCTCCCGTGTTGCAGCCATATGTCCAATTGTCAAGCATCTTCCTGGTATTTTAAAATCATTAAATACAGTTTTAAATGAAATTAACATGCCAGACAAAATATATAGTGAAATAATGCCGTTGAAAAAATATTTTTCGTCATTTGAATGTATAGCTATGGCTTGTTTTTGGTTCAAAGTACTTTCTTCAATAAATGAACGAAATATAATTAATCAGTAAAAAAGGTATATCTCTGGAAATTGATTTTGTTGATATTATTAAACAACACACTGGGTACAGTAATATTATTTAAGATAACAGTTTAATGTATTTTTACTTATGTTAGTATAGTACAAGGTCAAAGGGACACATTCCTTTTACGATTATGTTGTTTTACTCAATGCAGCCTATTGTATACATGTTTACAGTTTAGTTGTAGTTTCACCGTCTATCGAGTAAAGCAACCCGTTGCCGTTGTACATCTCTTATATGTTTTGACATTTTATATTAAATACTATTATATTACGAATAATTTCTAAATCTTTTAATTACATAACCTATTCCATTCAACAGATTTAATAGAAAATTTTATAAAAGAATTCAACAATATACGAGACGAATGGCTTAAAATTATAAATGAAGCTGGTTTAGTGGCAAATAATTTATAAATATTAAACCAAATTTTCCTGAAGAAGAAAGAATGACATAGAAAAGGAAAGTTTTTCTTGGCGAAATTCGATCAGAGACTATTCTGAACCTAATAAAGCAATTGAAGCCTAGGATTCTTTTTAATTTTATGGAACAATATAATTTGTCTATTTTATTTTATAAAATGTTGGTTTAGTGATTTGTTTATAACACGTTTTATGAAATTCTGAATAAATGTTGCAATGTTTTTATTTCCTCATAAAGAAGGAAATATATATATATAAAGTAAAAGCATGTTAAGTTACATTGTATCAAAATCGACCGTTTAACGATTATTATTTTTTAAATATTTCACTAATTAAAATAAACTGAAGAAAATATTCCAAACTTTTAGAGTAATGTTATCATCAACTGGATATAGTTCTAATTTTATTAACCTATATTTCAAAAATAACTTTTCAGTAGAACCTAAGAATTTGTAGGATCAGAAAAAACGGATCATAGTAAAATTATACTTTCTTAGTTTAGAGTCAATGTTAAAAGGCATTAGTTTAAATATTTTACAATTAGAATATTAGTTCTTAATATAGTATTAAAAAATATATTATAATTATTCATGAGTATAAAAGTATTATTAATGTGAGACAATTTAATTTGGTTTAAAGTAAAAGTTGTTTATTATTAATAAATTACCTTAAAAGATAATTATAATTATTAATAAACGAGAATTCATAAGATGCACTACATCAAAGATATAGCCATAGGTGCTTACAAAGATGCAGTTTGGAAAAGCTAGGACTTGTAACAGTTCATAACCAACATTAATCGACCTATTTTTTGGGATCATTAATGGTAATGCAAAAATTTTTTCTTTAAGTACTACCATGTAGACTCATTTGGAAACATTTAATTAATTAAATATGATAGATTTTCTAAGGTTTTTCACATTTTTTGTGTTCACTTAACAAGCTACTTATTTAATAAAAAGTTAATCTATCTAGCTAAGATAAACTAAACTTATATGTATCTCTTTAATAATTCCAAATTTACTTATAATAAAACAATTATAAATCTATTATCAAGTCGAGTTAAAACAAAAATAAACAAAACAAAATAAATCCAATTTTTTATTTGCAATAATTAATAATAAAAAAAAAAAACAGTCTTTTTTAAATATAATTTTTCTAAATTTTTTTAATTTATAAAATAATTAAAAGGATAACAGTAATAAATATTATACTTAATAAAATAAAAATTAAAGTCCATTGTCTTCGATCTGTAACATAAAATTTACAGCAGTCAACAAATATTTATAAATAATTTTTATCAAAAATTAAAAAGATAAAGATATAATTTACAATTAAAAAGTGAACATTGACTTATGTATTTTGGATGATAATTCCTGAATATTTATTTCATTTGTAAACATTTTTGAGCAAAACTTTTAATATTAATGTATTAGATGACTTTTTGTTATTGTTGTTACTACTACATTTTTATTTGAGAATAAATTAAAACATATAATCCATTTTTATTATTTTATTTTACAAATTATTTGACCACTCATATTTATACATAATGCATAATTTATTTGTAGCACACTATCTTTTTGGATAGTTTTACTAAAAATGAGGAATTTTTTAAATTGTTGGTAATTCATTGACTGTCAAGCCTAATACTAAAAATACTATAATATTGTTTTATAATTTCTTCAAATGAAAAATTTATACTAAAAAAATGTATACTAACCTTTTTAAGTATTATATTTTTAAATATATTTGGTAATATGCAATTTTCATGCATTCTCAATATTAAAAGAGATTGACAAAAACGAAAAACAATTTTTTTTTATCAAAAGTTATAAAATTATTTTTTAATATTACACCTATATTTAACCTTTCATTTAGCTAATATGGTTTCCTACAAAATTAATTTTACACATCTTTTCATTTTCTTTAATTTTTTAAAATGATAAATTAAAAAATATATTGATATATTTCTACCCATTTTCATAAATTTTTAAGTACATTTAGACACATAATGGGATTGTCTTAGAAATCTCAACATTTTTTAATTTTCATATTATTATAAGTGTGTGCTGACATTATGTTATGTATCTTAAGCATATTACAAAAAAGGGATTAAATAAATTTTTGGCTACAAGTTTATAAAAGTTGCTAGTACAATTTTAATTTACATATAACATCAAATATATTACAAATTACCATCAGACAATTGAAGTACTTGTGATACTTTTTTAGAAACCATATCTAATCTTGTTTCTGTTCTATCTAATTGTGTACCCAAATTATCAATCATCCTAAAAATACATATTTTTATTAATAAGTTTAATATTTATGAACTCCTTAATGTGGAGTTCATGTTAAGGTGGATAAATTATAAACAGTTATTTTTACAAAGGTCAAAAAGATATAATATGACATAAAAATATATGGTTCATAACTAATTTCATTTCAGTGTCAGCCTTTATCACTCTACTATTTGGTAATTGCTAGGAGGATATTTTTAAATTTTGGAGCCCATAATCTATAGACATAGTTAAGCAAAATTATTCTAGTAGAAGCCAATTGCAAGTGAAAGACCAAAAAAATAAATATATGCATATTACAGTAAAATTAATACTTTCTCAGCTACGAAACAAAATATTAAAAAAATTTTAAACTTAATCTTTTTCTTTAAATGATGTAAGTTTTTCAGAATAAATAAAAAAATTGAATAGCAAAAAAATCAACATTTATACAGCCTTATTCTAAATATTCAATAATCAGAATATAGATTGATTTTAAAAAAATGTATAAAAAGATAAGTTATCTTAGACAATGATATAAAAAAAATTTCATTTTGATCTTAGTATTTTTCAAAAAATTAAAGCGTACATAATTTTAAACTGAAATATCAAATTATACCAGTTTTAATAATTGTAATTTATTGCAATACATAAAAATCAAGTTTTTTTTTTTTTAATAGTGTCTTGAATAATGATTCAGATTTTCTTTAAATATTGATCAACAATAATAATGTTGATCAATACTAGACCAATATTATATTGATCCAGTAGAAACATCTACTATTTATGGTTATAAACAATATGTATATAAAAATATATCAAGGTAAAATAATTACCTTCATTTAAATAGTATATGAGTAATAATAATACTAATAAAATTAACAATTAATTACTTACACATTTTGTTGATCCAATTCAATACCTATATCTTCAGAAACAGTTTTTAAAGTTTTAACAGATTTTGATATAAGGTCTAGCTTATGCTGCTGTCCATTTATTTTATGAGAATTTGAACTCAACATATCAGCAACAAATTTAGATGTACTTGGTCCAGATGAAAATAATAATTCATCTTCATTATTTGTTTCCAATAAAGGCTAAACAAATTTCTATCTTCAAAAAATTATTTCATAACAATTGTAATTAGGTAGTAAGTAGAGTTACAAGAAGTTTATTATTGTTAAATTTCCTAATATTTTAATATACTTAAAAAAACCATATTTTGAGGATGTAAATAATGTTGAAGGAAGGGATATTTGCATTCTTTACATTCTCAACATTATTTTTATTATAATTTATTTACAAATTGAAATTTTTTAAATAAGCAGTAGTTTAAGCTCAAAACACCTTTATATAAAACACTTGCTTATTTTCAATAAAAAAAACTTTTAGTAATGAGTTTTCAAAAAAATAAATTATAGGTATAATCAAATTTAAATAATTCCAGATAAAATCATCAAAATTCGTGAGACTTCTCATGTCTGCTACACTCATTCTCTGCTCTACTTTCTTATCAACCGCCCAACAATCTGAACCATATATCATAGCTGACTTCACTACAGTCTTATAGAATTTACCTTTCAGCCTCATTGGAATTATTTTATCGCAAACACCAGATGCTTCTCTCTACTTCAACTACCTGGACTTAAAACTGTGTCTTACATTCTCGTCAATACCACCACTATTTTGCACAACTGATCCTAAATACTTAAAACTTTCGACCTCTCCAATCACGTCCTCGCCTATTGTTACTGATCTCCTCATTTCACCTACCTCATGTTCTCCTTTGTCAAACTCGTATTCTATATAATCTGTGTTACTTCTACTTATTCTTAAACCCTTTTCTTCAAGAGCTTATCTCCACACCTCTAGCCTTTGATTAATTTCCTCCTATTAACACTATATTGTCAGCAAACAACATGCATCATGGCACCTCTCCTTGTATTTCTCTAGTAATTTCATCCATCACTATAGAGAATAAGTAAGGGCTTAAAGCAGAACCTTGGTGCACTCTTACTCTTAACCGAAAACTTTCTCTTACTCTTCCTACGCTTTTTACCCTGGTACAAGTGCCATCATACATATCTTCTATTATATTAATGTACCTTTTCGGGACTCTATTTCTCATTAATGCCCAATTAAAAACCTTTATCATACGCTTTCTCCAAATCTAATAAATACCATATTTTTTTCTTTTTCTATTAGTTGCCTGACACAAAATACTAGTTCCATTGTTGACTTACCAGTCATAAATCCAAACTGGTTTTTAGATATAAGTGTCTCATTTCTTATTCTCTTATCTATAACTTTTCCCAAATTTTCATACTATGACTCATAAGTTTTATGCCTCTATAATTTTCACACTCCTGTATGTCACCTTATCTTTAAATATTGGCACCACAATACTATTCCTCCATTCATTTGGAATTTTCCCTTCTAATAATATTTTATTTAAAAGTTCCTTCAACCACCTTATGCCAACACCGCCTAATATTTTCCATACTTCTACTGGCACTTCATCTGGTCCTACTGCTCTATTCTTTTTCATTGATATCATAGCCTCCCATACCTCTTTATCACTAATTAAATCTACCAATACCCTCATTCCACGAGATATCCTTTAATGTCTCTTTTGGGAATTCCTCATTCAGTAATTGTTCAAAATACTCTTTTCACCTTTTTTTCACATCATCATCACTCGAGAGTACCCTATCATTAGCACTTTTTATACACCTTATATAGAGCGATTTTTTTATCATAACCCACTCAATTACTTACAAAATAATAATAATTTAAACATTTTTTTTTATTATTATCTTTAGTTACACATTATTCTTGAATTACTAAAACCTTAGATATTTTCCTTTCATTTAATATCATTTTTTTGAAAATCTAACACTTAACCAGCTCATTGGGGGGATTTAAAATAGCAACGTTTTTACAAAAACTTACTTTTTCAACTTAATTTTTGAAAATGTTCCGGAAATACTGCGTCCTTTAAACATATATAAAATTAAAGCTTATTTTATGTACTACAAAATGAAAAAAAAAAATTTATCCCGACGACCTATCTTCTATACGCAAATGGCTACCATATTCAAAAATATGCTATTTTTTATTAAAATTCTAGGTTTTGTATTTTACTTTATTTTAAAATATTTTATTATGGGAATAAACTGACTTTCATGAATATTATATAATTTAATTGACATAGAATAAAGGTCATAAGACATAAGAAATTAAACTTATTAAATTTTTTTTACTTTTAGCTTCGATGCGAAGCTGAGAAGGTATTGGTTTTACTAAGATGTGTTTTTTTTGTGTCTGTTACCACTTTTTTTCAGCTCTCACCGAACCGATTTCTTTCAATGATACGTCAAAAGATCACAAATTGTATCTAGTCGAAGACATTACCCTCAAAAATTGAAAAAAATTCCCTCGTTCCCCGTAAATGGGGGAAACCTCCAAAAAAATTACAAATTTAAAAATCGCTAATTTTCGAAATTTTTTCAATTTTTTTTACTTAAAAGTGCCATAACTTTTTTAAAAATAAACATATCAATATAATTCTTTTTTATATAGATGCATAATATCATTACCTTTCATTTGGTATATTTTTTTTATAAATTTAACCCTTAACCTGCCCACAAGGGGGGATTTAAAATGACAACTTTTTTCAAAAAAAATTAACTTTTTCAACTTAACTTTTGAAAATGTTCCGGAAGGTCTGACACTTTTATATATATCTTAAATTGAAACTAATGTAATGTTCTTTATTATGCAAAAAAAAAATTTCGGACTTCATTTTATCTTCACGGTGAAAACAGACATCAAAGTTCATTAAAAAAATACGATTTTTGTAAAAAAATTCTTTTTTATATTTTTAACTTTATAATGCTATAACTTTTTGAAAGATGTATGGATCAATATAAATTTTTTTTTATAGATGCATGATGTCTTTACCTATCATTTGGTATATATTTTTTTTATATCTGACCCTTTACCTGCCCACAGGGGGGGATTTAAAATTTCTTTCAATGATACGTCAAAAGATCACAAATCGTATCTAGTTGAAGACATTACCCTTAAAAATTGAAAACATTTTCCTCGTTCCCTGTAAACCTCCAAAAAATAACAAATTTAAAAATCACTAATTTTCGAAATTTTTTATAATATAATTTTTTTTTTTAATAGATGCTTAATGTTTTTACCTATCATTTGGTGTTTTTTTTTTATAAATCTGACCCTAAACCCTGCCCACAGGAGGGGATTCAAAATGACAACTTTTTCACAAAAAATTTACTTTTTCAACTTAACTTTAGAAAGTGTTCCCGAAAGTCTGACACTTTTATATATATCTTAAATTAAAGCTAATGTAATATACTTTATTATGGAAAAAAAAAATTTCGGACTTTATTTTATCTTCACGGTGAAAATGGCTACCAAATGCTATTATTGTGTGAAAATTCTCGATTTTATTTTTTACATTTTTAACTTTATAATGCTATGACATATTGAAAAGTGTATGGATCAACATTATTTTTTTATGAGAAATAATATTTTTTAATAATCCCTTTTTCATTCTACATACTTTATATTAATTAGGATATTAATAATGAACTAGCAGATAATGTAGCTTTTGGAATAGTCCACCAATTTTTTAAAATTAAACACTATCTAAAGATTTGCATCGAAGCGTTTTTTTTTGATAGTGATTTTAATCACTGTCAGATATCATTATACTTGATCCATCTATACCACGTCACCACTGTGCCGCGACCCCCCTGTGCTGGGGTTTTTTTTTACTAAAATGTACAGTAACTTTGTTAAAAATGAACATATCAATATAATTTTTTTTTTATAGATGCTTGATGTCTTTACCTATCATTTGATATATTTTTTTTTGAAAATCTGACCCTTTATCTGCCCACAGGGGGGGATTTTAAATGACAACTTTTTCACAAAAAATTAACTTTTGAAAATATTCCGGAAGGTCTGACACTTTTATATATATCTTAAATTAAAGCTAATGTAATATACTTTAATTTGAAAAAAAAAAATTTGACCTCTGGACTTTTCTTCGCGGCGAAAATGGCTACCGAATGCTATTTTCGTGTGATAATTCTCGATTTTATTATTCATATTATATTTAACTTTATAATGCTATAACTTATTGAAAAGTGTATGGATCAACACAATTTTTTTATGAGAAATAATATTTTTTAATAATCCTTTTTCATTCGACATACTTTATCTTAATCAAGATATTAATAAGGAACTAGCAGATCGTGTAGCATTTGGAATAATANGTTTATGAAGCTTTTGGAATAATCCACCAATTTTTTAAAATTAAACACTATCTAAAGATTTGCATCGAAGCGTTTTTTTTTGATAGTGATTTTAATCACTGTCAGATATCATTATACTTGATCCAACTATTCCACGTCACCACTGTTCCGCGACCCCCCTGTGCTGGGTTTTTTATTTTCATACTAAATTTAATAATTATAATTAGTATTTATTCATATATTATATTTTAAAATCAAAGAACTACTAATTAGGATATAATCAAAGAAATAAGAGTTGATGTTGCTTTTGGAATAATCCACCAATTTCTCTACATAAACACTATCTACAGATTTGCATCGAAGCGTTTCTTATGATAGTGATTTTAATCACTGTCAAATATCATCTATACTTGTCCCATCTATGCATTGTCTACACTGTGCCTCAACCCCACTGTGCTACAGTTTTTTTTTTATTATTCTGTAAGTAATTGAGTAATTGGTTATGATAAAAAAATCATCCTGTATAATGATAATCTTTAGTCCTTTTTTCTCTTACTTTTGCAAGTTTATAGATTTCTTTCTCGCCTTCCTTTGTTCCTAGCCTATCATACAACTCATCATACCTCTTAAACTTTGCCTTACTTACTGCGTACTTGGCTTCTTTGCACAAGCGTTTATACTCCATCTAGTCTTCCCTCCTTTTGCTCTTCTGCCATACTTTGAATTGCTTTTTCTTACTTTTTATGATTTAATGAACGTCTTCATCCCACCATCAGGTTTCCTTGTTTCCTGGCATTCTACGCATACTCTCACCAACAATCTCCTTTCCAGTATTCTTTACACAACTAGCAAATCTATTCCACACATCATTTATGTCTCCCTCAACAATTCACACCGTCCTCTCTTTTACCGTCTTTACAAACTCTTTTTCAATTTCTACCACCGGATCTTCGATTTTCCTCCTGTATTTCTTCTATTTTTGTATATCTCTTTTTGGTACACCACATCTTCATTATCATCAGTCTATGTCGTGTAGCTACACTCTCGCTTGGGATAACTTAACAATATTTTACTCACTCTACGCTCTCTCTCTTCCACATAAAATAATCAATCTATGATCTATTACTCCCACTCTTATAAGTTATATAATGTTCTTCCCTCTTTCTAAAATAAGTATTAACCACAGCAAGATCATACCATACTGCCAAATCTAGGATTCTTTCTCCAGCCTTATTCTTCCCACTAATACCATTCAATCCATATACTTTTTCATATCATCTCCTCTCATTACCTATGTGCCCATTCATATTTCCACCTATTACCACATCCTGCCTATTACTAGGTATTCCTTGCATCGAGGTGATGCAAGGATGAAGTATTCATGTTTCTCCAAAACACTTCCTTGTCTATTTCATCACATCCTACTTGTGGTGCATAGGTACTTATTACATTCAGCATTTTTTCCTCAAATATCAATTTTACAACTATAATTCTGTCACTTTTCCTAGCTACTTCTACTACTTTAACTTTCATCTCCTCATCCATTATTATCCCTACACCATTTTTTGTACTAGACTTACTTGAGTATATTATTTTATAATCCTCATCTATTTCTCTCGATTTCTCTCCTTTCAACTTAGTTTCCTGCACACAACAAATGTTAACTTTTTTCCTCTTCAATACTTCTACTAATTCTCCACTTCTACTAGTTAATGTTCCAATATTCCAAGTACCTATTCTTACTTTGTAGTTCGTTAAATGAGCATTTTAACTTTATTCTTTTTAAACTTATTCAAGAAACTTTAAAAATAATGTATGATCTGTATGAAATAAGCTCTTATTGTATAACAATATTTAAAATAATAGTTAAAAGAATCATTTATTATCAATACTTCACTATCTTGATTTCTTGAATTCAATTCCCAAGAATATCCGTTTTTTCCTCTTGGCAACATCCTAAACATTCAACATTAATATAAATAATTAAGACATCTTAGTTTAGAAATTCCACATTTGTTAATATCTAAGTAGTCACTTACATTTGTTAATTGACTTAAAACATCACTTTAATTTACATCTAAACGAAAACTATATGATATTTACTAGTGAATACCATAAAACTAATTAACTTTCAAACCATTAATATTCTCAAATATTTTGTATAATTTTTCAAAATTAAGAAATGAGAATTTCATTGCATTTAAAATAGATTAACGTTAAAACTTTATTCTAACAGAAATATACTATGTAAAATCTTGTGATACGGATTAGTTTGATAAGAACAGATAAATATGTACTGATTTTACTTATTTGCATTTATTGTCATTACGGCTATTAACTCATTTTTCTTCAAGGGTAAAATAAGCTACCACAAATTTCAACGATCAGATAACACAAGCACCAAAAAACATCCTTGCATTTTATCATGGATTAAATATGTTTTATTATTATATTGATATCATAGATAAACAATTATCAACAGTTAATATTCCACAATATGTCTATCATTTAATAATTATGCTTCACTAGAATTAATGATGTTCAACTGGACTTAAGATATGTTAACATTTCATGATTACTTGTTAATTTTGTTAAATTTATTTCAATGTTGTATCGTTAATTTGTATTTTATTGATAAAATGTGAAATTTCGAAAGAAATTTTAAAAGATATGAATAATGAAAACAATACTACTGTTGATTTATTGAAGAAAAGATTTGAGTCGTTTCAATGTGGCAAAAAGTCTTCACCTGAATTATTAGATTCACAGAATGTTATCAAACGGAATATTAAAAGAACTCCAGCATTTCGAAGAGATTTTAAATTATCTAAACAAACAGGAGAAACCCCTTATTTTAATAAGGTAACTAATATTAAAAAAAATAATCATAGTACATGTATATACTCAAAGTCAATTGAAACATTTATAACACCTACATCCAATTTTAATCAATTTAAAAGTCAAACAAAAAAAGTATCAGATTTAAATAATTGCACAGTTGATAAAACAGTGACTTCAAACCACGAAGTACTTATCCAGTGTTTAAAAAAAGAGTTGAATAAAAATAATACTAGTAACACTATTACAGTAAAACCTAGAAAAAATTCTTTAGAAACTTTTTTACCAATTGGTCCACCTCCCAAAAAACCTCCAAGAACTTTTGCTCATGATAAACAACTTCAAATAAATCTAAATTCAAAGATAGAGATGGATTTTCATGAGAAACAAAAGTCAGATCCTAAAGTTATGTTGGAAAAATTAGAAAAATTTGTTGTTGATAACTCTCAATCAAAACAAAAAATAAATATTGATGAACAGTATACTGTCAACAGTTTAAATTCTAAAAAAATTGAAAAGAAAACAAACTTGCTTACTTTAGCAAAGTCATTAGGGTGTATCAGTAATCAAAATATGTATGACAATAATACAACAAAAGATTGTGACACAGATGACCAAAATTATTTGACTACAAAATTTTACTGTGAAAACAGTATAGAACATATATATGATGAACCAATATTCTTAATGCAAAATTCTAATAAAAATAGTGCTAATAGCTGTCATGTGCATACTAATAATAAGCTAATTGATGATTCTGATAAATCTGATCTACATTATATGGTAAGTACTAAATAATGACTAAAATAACTGCTTATTGTAACTATGATATTTTAATGAACCTTGAAGATTGAACCTATTATCAAGTAAATACAAAAAATTTTAATATAATTAAAATAATTTTTCTTAAGTTTGTTAAAACCTGAAAAAAAATTGAATGTCAGTTTGATTATTATTTTCAAAATTTTATAAAGATTTTCACTTAAAATTCTAATCTGAAATAGAAAAAAATGGACAAATTGAATATAACCTTCCAAAAGATTTATTACAATGTAAATTAGGTAATTATTGTAAGGTAGATTGAGTTTTTCAGATTTTTCTAAATTTTCCTTCGATTTTTAATTTTTTTAATTATTGGTTAATTAATTTTTATAAATATGCATACTTCAATTAAAACTCCTGGATGATAACTTTTTAAATTAATATTGTAATAATAACATAATTATGTTTAAATAAATTCAAACTTTTTGTTTTTTATAAAATGTGTTCAAATTTTATTTTATATATTTTGTTTGAATTGTATTAAAAAGGTGTGGTATAGCGCAATTTATCATTTAGTCGTTATTGTAGTGCTGATTGTAGTACTTAAGAAGACAATATTAATTTTACTTTGATTAGGAGGATAAACATTATTTGGTGAAACTGCTTTATTTGGTTCCCAATAAACAAGTGATGATAGTATTTTTAGTATTTTACTTTTATTTAAAATTTTAGATAAATGATCTATTATTCTGTTTTTTAGTTATGTAAAAAGTCAAATTTTTGAAAAATAACATTTATAAATAAAATCAATTTGTAGTATGACATGGGAAAGGAATTAAGTTAAAAAAAAATTTTTCTTAGAAAAAGTAGTAATCTGGTGAAGAAACTAAAATAAATTTCTGTATATAATAAAAATTATATTAAAATTAAAAATAACTTTTGTCATAAGTCTTGACAATTAGGGCAAACTGTATTTTTCTTACCCTTAATTCAGTTTTTAAAAGTACCTTTTTCATGTCAATGCCTCAATTAAATCAGTAATATTTATGAGTTATTCATTCTTAATTAAATTTTATATAAAATAAATAAATATATTAAATGCAGTTTTTTATAAATTTTTTAGTCAACCTCAATACAAGATTTGGATTTTAAAAATTACATAGAAAATTTCAAGTCTCTTTCTAGTTTAGATATAGATAGTGTAGATGGTATAAGTAAATCAAAAAACTTCAGTAATGATTCAGAAAGTAGTCATGAAAGAAAAGTAAGATTTAAAATTTCCATTTTTTATAGTTATGATAACATTTAATTTTTTTAATTACAAATAATATATTTAAGATACAATTATTAATGAATGAAGCTTATGGAACATTCATTGATGCCCGTGAATGTGAAAATGACACATTATCATTTTCTTACCATAAAGATAATGATTCTAACTTTACATCAGGTAACTTGTTATTTCATTAACACATTTTTACATAAATAGAGAAAGCATTGTTTACATCATTAAATATGGGCGATTTATACTAGTGAATAGTTTTACTTTGATTTTTTCTGGTTGTAAAATGTTAAAAAAAAAAAAAGTTGAAACATTGAAAATCCTCATCGAATTATTAATTATTAATTATCGAAAACCTGAATACAAATTAAGAATCAACAATTAATTGCTTTTAAAGTTTACCTAACTATTGTACACTGCAGAATCTTTTTAGAAGATCTGTGTTGTTAAGCAATAATATTAATGACAATAATTACCATATTTTAGGAAAAAATGTTAATGAACAAACTTTAGAGCGTAAAGGATATTTACGTCGTGTAGCAAAAAAAGTATCATCCACTTACTCAACTCTTGTGCAAGATAAAAATCACTTATTCCATGCATTGCTTTTAGTTGGACTTGACTTAAGTTCTACAAAAGAAAAACTTCCTTATATTAAATATAAATATCCAGATAATGTAATATTCATACATCACTGATATTCATAAATAATTTGTATCTATTAATAAGTTTATATTTTTTAGGTTAAAGTACCTAAACAAATTGAAAATTTATGTTTCCCTGATGCTCATGTTTGGCCATTTACTGCTGACGATTGTCGAACATATACTTTAACTGTTACTGATGAAAATGGTAGAAGATACTATGGCTATTGTTATAGAGTACAGCCAGAAGAAGCTTCTTATTGTTTACCATTAGTATACTGCATATACTCAATGATTAAAGCCAATAGCTTTTATTTTCAGGTATTATATATACCAGAACTTCAATTAACCATCATTCTTTTATTTTAATGGTTAATTGAATTTCCATTGTAATGAATGATTCTATTGATAAATCATAGTTATTTTATATTTTGGTCATAGGTATTACGAGAAATTGAGTCAAGACATGGTCTTTCTGAGTTTAATATTAAAGAATTTATTCAATTATTATACAATCAAACATTTCCAGAGCTAGGATCTACTATTTTTATTCCTCAAAATTGTACTAATTCAATTTCGTTCTTGTCGTAAGTTATAATGTATTTTTTTTAAATATTAAATAAAATCATTAAATTGAAAGTAGCTTTTAAATATTATCATAATATCAGAAAGTATGATAATAACATTTATTCTGTTATTAACCTTATTGTTTGAATTCAGCCATTATATAATTATATATATAATTTGATAATTTTCAACTCATGATAACTATGAATCTAAAATATCGATTAAAAGGGAAAGAAAATTTATCTTGTGATGTTTTAAAGATGTAATTATTATTTTATTATATCTTTTGCAGTGAACAAACACGAGAGATTCGCAGACCATTTGATATTCGACAAGAACAAAATGATTTACTGAAACTGTTGCAAGTAATAAAGCCTTCTACTTTTATACAAATGCTTGCTTCCATGTTACTTGAAAGAAAGTTAATACTTTTCAGCAAATCTATCAGGTAAACAGTAAAGTAATTAAAATAATATAATAAAAATTGATCACTTGTAGCTAATATTATTTAAAATTAAAATTATATATAAAATATTAATTTAAAAAAAAAAAAAAAAATTTAACTCAAAAAGCCACAAAAAATTACTAAAAAAATTTTTTAGGTATAATTATATAATTATAAAATTTTAAAAATAACTAATTTTCTTTAAAACATTCTTCTAATACTATAGAATAAAAAAAATATGTCATTTTTTATTCTGTCATTATAAAGTTTTTGCTTATATCCATTATTTCTTTTAATTATTATTGTTAACAGATTTAAAACTTTTTTGTTTTATTAATAAAAAATTACATAGAAATAATAACTTTCAAAATTAAATTGTGAGATAAAACTATGAGAGAATATGTATTATATATGGTACTAATACCATAAAAATACCAACTGCTAAAACAAAACAAAATATTTTTAATATTGCACAAACTTAATTAAGCGTTAATTGAAGATTAATAACAATGTTGATGAAATTGATACATTTTTAAACTTATTTTCTTCATTTATTAGTGTATGATTAAGAAAATCTCATGATTTTTTTGTTACACCTCATATAGTNTTTAACTCAAAAAGCCACAAAAAATTACTAAAAAAATTTTTTAGGTATAATTATATAATTATAAAATTTTAAAAATAACTAATTTTCTTTAAAACATTCTTCTAATACTATAGAATAAAAAAAATAATATAAGAAATATTTTCTTATGGAGTAAGAAAACTTTTCTTCTAAATGTTATATCTACAAAATTTTAGCATTATATAGCATAATTAACGAGGAAATGTTACTTATGGTCTCATAGAAAAATATTTCCAGATGGGCGCACTTCTCATATTTTAAAACTTCAAAAATATGGATACCCTAACCTCATATTACTTGTTAATTGTTTAAAAAGAGATGTTGATAATCCTAACAACTTTAAAAATTATATATTTTAGTGTATCATGTTTAATTCAAGTTCTACTATAATTGTTTTAAAAATTGTAAATATCAAAATATGATTTAAATTACTTATTTTATACTATTAGTTTTATGGAAAAAAATTAAGAATCTACTATTAATGATACTATCTAAACAAATATATATTATACTATTTTGTCATAAATACTATTATTTTTTGGTAGTATTTACATCATTTCTATATTATATTATTAATTATATAAATTAGCTATTAAAAAACTCTAGGATTTCTTTTACGCTTTATTTTTTTTCCCTAAATGATGGGAAATAATGTTATACTTTGTTTTAATATTTTTAAATTTATTTTAGCTTATTATCGAGTAGTATAGATGGACTTACAGCTGCATTGTATCCTTTTACTTGGCAGCATACCCTTATTTCAGTTCTTCCTTCACAAATGGTTTCTATAACTGATTTTGTTCAAGCGCCTACCCCTTTCATTGTTGGAATAATAAAAAGTGATATTCAATTAGATATTTTGGCTCAATTTAGTGAAAATGACCAAGTAAATATATGAAATGTATATTAGTTATACCACTATAATATAACATTCTGTACACTAGTTAATTTTTCTTATAGATAATTCTTTAAAAAAATACTATTTAAAAAAATCCTTTAATTAAAAATGAGTTATATTTTACAAGAAAATGTAGAAGATTTAAATGTATAAATTGTGAAGATATTTATGGATAGCTATTTGTAGAATCAGTAGTAAAATAATACTTTAATAATTATAATAAACATATTATAATTATATATAATATAATTAATATAATATAATATAATTAATAAATTTGATTTTTAACTA